GAGGTTTTGGTGATTTGGTTCTATCCTGAGAGATGATAGTTTTCTCGAGAATTAGTTGAGATGATCAGGCTTAGGTTTAATGTGGTTCTATTTAAGGATATAAAGATGGAATTTCTTTTATAAATGTCTTGGGGATCCATAAATGGTGAAATCGATAAATATAATTATGGGAGGTCGCTCTCCGTAGTGAGTATCAGAGCGGGTTTCAAAGCACTGGGGGAATCTTTCTTCGGAGGTTTGGTTAGGTTAGGGGTATCGAATCAAAAGTCAATATACGAAATTCCGACAGCCCTGGGCCTTTCTAATAGCGTGCTTCTAGATCAAGGTAATCCTTTGCGTTAGTAGATCTTCTATCAGCCTTCTTAGAGTAGACGCCTTTTCCCGATATTTGTTCCTCATCTCATTCCACTGTTCCAGCGAATTTGCTGCTGGGTGCGTCAACGTAGCCCAACCCACTCGCTTATAACAACCGCTGTTCTGTTCTTTTTGGACATGGATAGCACTAATATCGAGCGAAGAATCGTGGTCCGCGGCGAGAGGAATGAGGCAGCCGGAAAGTTCTGCTGGAGTAATATCCTGTATAGAAGATCCGCCGTCCGATCTGTACAATGAAACAAATAAGTGATCCAGATTTGTCATGACGGCGTCGTACGGGTCAGGATACAAATGATCAAATGGCGGAGAAAATGGCACATTGCCCGATTCAAAGGACGCGACAGTACGGGCTTGATAAGCGGTAAGCAAAGGGCTTGCGTCTAGAAGGGGAGCCATCAATGTGACTGTCGCCTCTACGCAGTCGGCCATATGGCTTGGACCTCGGTTGGTAACTTTGACATCCTCGACTCGCGTACACCTCAGGGATATGTAGACTTTCGACGACCAACGGACTTGGTAAGGTGATGAAGCCCATGACCAGGACGGATAGCGGGCGATCCGTGATTTTCGAGCCCTGTGGCTGTCCTGTACGTTCCAGAGAAGATCGAGAAGGAGAGTCTTCTCCCACAAGCCCACCAAGTACCGATCGCCGAGTCGTAAATCTTGCATTTGTTTGGCTAGCCCAGATAGGGCAGCCATTTTGTCATCCCCCTGCTGAGTCGAAGCCGCGAGTATTCATTCACGGTCCGATACCACAGGTACTGTGGGTGTTTCTCAAGGATACCGTATGGAGTATAAGGATAGGCCATCCCGTTCCATCCATCTTCGCTGGTCAAGGTTTTGTCGTTGTCCATGCTCTCGCTTTTCTGAGAATCTTGGCAGACCCAGATCACTTCCTCGGCACAGAAGTGCAGTACGCGTGGTGAGAGTCGCATCTCCTGATATGCCCATCCACGACTCAAAAGTGGCCAGTCTGGGCTCGTTCCTATCTCATACTCATCTCCGACATGAGTGGGAGTTTGGGAAGTTTATGACGAATATATGTATCATTGTATCCTGGCAAGAGCTTTGACATGTATTCGTCGCTTGTGTTCCTGAAACAGCCACCAGATGCGTCGCTGGCATTTGTTGCTGCGATTGTGAAATATGCATTTGCATAAATATTAGCCATTTGCGCAGCCTGTTCCGTCCAATCTGCTTCGGAATCCTGTATAATGCACATTGCATCGATCCATATATAGGAGACGTCCAGGCGGCGACAGATTGTTATTGCATCCTGGAATGTTGCATTGAGTTGATTCCAGGATATGTCTCTCTGGTGATCTCCGATGGTCTCTTAGGTGGTTTTGGTAATTTGGGTACCCTTACCCCAACAATAGCTTAGGCATGCATAACGTTGCTGGTCAACGTTCTCCCGCAGAATGACTTGATTCTTGCTGATCTGGAGAAGTCTCTTGGGCGAAGCTTGTTGATGATGGGGTTGCTTGCTCTTTTCGTAACAAGACTTGTGACTTGAAGTGCACTCATTGAGCCAACCCTTAATAGCCCTGAAAGTTGTCTCGGAGCTTGTGCTTCCCGGAAGGTGGGCGGCGATCTTCTTCGATTGTAACGGATTTTCTTCATGGCCTACGGAATCATTGATCAGCCGTGGGAACACAGACGAACATCATGGCACAATAGACCTTCTCCTGCAAGATTAGATACCTGATGGAAATTACTGCCTGGAGTGCTTAGGATGGAGTGATTTACCATCTGTAGTGAATACGTCAACCCTTGCTTCTTTGTACAGCTCCTCAGAAAAGACTTCATAGTAGTTGCCTTGTCGAATAAAAATTCGGTCGACCTGCTTTGTATCAAACGGAGCCAATCTGACACATTGATCGATGAAGACGCACTGAGAGCAGCCGTCTTGTATACCCTGCCGGAGGTCCTCCCACGTAACAGTGCTTATTGGCCACTTCCCTTCGTTGCAGAACCGACAAGCCATGATGATTCGCGATGCTGGAGATTCAGATGAGTAAGAGCAATACGCAATAGTCTCGCATTAGCTCTCGGACGGACTTTTATTAAGAGGCTCTAAGCTGATTGTACTTTACGGGGATTTACAAAGTGAATAAGTCTATGAGCGCTGAGATCTTCACCTCAGGCCGTGGAGTTGCTAATGATGTATGAGTCGATGCACTTGTTTTCCATCATCTCCTCTATCTAGATATATTGCTTACCCCTCATCACCGGGAACTCAGGAATGTCTCAGGCAGATGTGTCTTCTTGGCGCACCAATCAAAGGTACACACGTAGCTCATGTCGACAGCAAGTCTCAAGTCGCATTGAACAAAACAGACAAGACCTTCGGAGAATTCGCTAGCATTATGGTTTTGAACGTATGTAGCTCTTCCATAAATTGAGCAAGGTCGTAAAACATCTACATCTGTAGGTGCCGCTCCTGGCTCAAGTACAGAATCGAGCGTCATGCAGGTCAATCCACCTCTGCAGAAGCTCCAATATTGAGCTATTACTAAGCCTCGCCTGACATCCTGCCTTGCCTGCTTATGTCGGGCACAGCTTGTGGCGCAGGCGTCGAAAGTATAATTAGATTCAGGCAGCTTAGACAAGACTCTTACTCAGCGACTCAGCAGCTTCGCCCACATCATTCTTGGTGGCTTTCTCAGTTTTTCCAAGAATACTGTTGGTGTAACCGAGAAAGTACGCTACCTGTAAGCAGGGCGATATAATGTCTCAGAAGAAGACGGAAACGTATGGGACACTTCTTTAGTCATGTGACGTGGCGTTAGGTAGATGCTCAGAAAGGCCTCTTTCGATGGAGGCCCCCTGTCAAATACATAAGATCAATCTCTTGGAGAACGTGAGCCGGAGAATTTCAGCTTCTTGCTATCACGGAAAAGCTACGCCTGAGACGAAAGAAATCAACCGTTCACTGCACTGCCACCAATTAATTGATCGAAACCTTCGTAATGATCCGATTACATTGGTTCACCGTTCACGGAGTCTATCTCCTCACTCAATTTGCTTTCATGATGGCCGGCATCGCGGCCTTTGTATCAATGCCATTGGAATTCCATCACCCGATGCCTCCCGTGATTCCATGGGGATCCTCTGCTCTAGTGCGTCAACTTTCTCGTTCCCTCCCCTCGTGAATTTGGAATATTTTTAGAATAGTTGCTTACCAATGAAATACTTCCAGAGCTGTTTTTCACTCTTCGTGAACACACTCATTTTGTCCGCAATCTCTTCGTCTCAACGGCCGAACACCTTGATGACCGAAGAGAGCCGTCTGAATAGCCGCCGCGTCATACTCCTCATCAGCGCCTTATTTGCTGCGGGATTCGCCGCGGCGGACTGGTCTTTTGCCTCATCATTTCGAACGTATGGATCGACTGGCCTCGAAAAGGCGGCCGGCGGTGTAGCTGGGGTGGCTTCGTACGTGAAAAGCTACCTGATTCCCACTCTTTGATCTGGATACAGACTAACCAACTTGTGTAGAGTTGTCGCGCTCGCTGCTGTTGTAGTGGATATCTGGAAAATCTGCGAAGATGCTTCAGAGGCTCGGGCTTCTGAATTATTTGACCGAGAGCAGCTTGCTGATGTAGAGCCATATACTGATAGTTGAAAGCTTATGGGGGTAATGAAGGGCTTTGATATGTTTATCTCCGCAAAATCAACTCTATGAAACACATACATCTTTCTTCGATATCTTCTTCCTCGCTAGTTCCAGGATGAAATCCAGGAAGCACGCTACATGCGCTGAATGATCCTTGTCTCCTCGTGGAGTAACAGACGCGAAAAGGACCTGCTCAGATATGCGAGTCTATTTACATACCCTCTCGCGTTAGGGATGCAAAAGTGATGACTCAAAACATGACTGTTATCTTGCACCACAGTAATGGGACATTTGGGGCTGAATACCGTCTGTGGAGTATGGGTGCGGCAAATACCCTGAAAACCAACAGCCTGACTGTGAATAAAGAACTCGCGGACGTATATTAGTAAGCGAAGGAATGGCCGACGTGGAATGTCTTACAGCCAAATCAGGTCTCAACATGCGATTCGTTGAGCCAAGAAAGTCAGCCCGACTCTGCCGCAAAGTAATAAAGCCTCCCATGTGTTCAGAGGGGCACTGCGCGTGATCTACATGATATCGAAGGGATGATGACTTGAAAATCGAAAACCGACCTTTCTGAGCCACTTCAGCCTCGCAAAGGATGATGTCGTGGTTATTTCAAGGACGGAAGAAAGATGACGGCTTTTCCACTATCGAAGACTTCGGTGATCTGGACGGACAAAAAAAGTGCCGAGGCTGCAAACAGATCCGGGCTCTCTTCGATTTCCAGAGGCGTCATAACATTCTACCACCCAAGGCTGTGGTTTTCCACGAAGATTATGCCTCTCTCGACAGATGTGCTCAGCTCTGCGTCACTTGCCGTATTTTTCGCCAGGCTCTGCTTCTCGAAGGCGTGGATTCCGGCCATGCTGCTTTATTAGAGCATTCTTCAGGGTCGATTTGCGCGAAATTGGTCGATGAGGATAGTGGCTTTGCGATACAAATACACGTCAAGGAAGATGGAGAAGGCAGGATTCCCATGGCAATGGTTCGCTGCGCACCGATAATGGACACGAAGCCTCCTATGAAGCTGTCGAAGAATTCAAAGGACGACATCATCTTTCAACAGATTAAAGGTTGGCTCCGCGGGTGTGAACAGTGTCACATTGACTGCGGAAACCTCGCATTTTCGGACCGCAGGCCTACGCGGCTTCTTCACCTTCTCGCTGACTCACAAGCACAGTTGGTCGATAGCGAGAGTCTAGTTGCGAACGGAAAGGCCACTCGTTATGCGGCACTGAGCTATTGCTGGGGCACCGGCACGTTCAGTGCGGATGAAAACGAGCTAGTCGAACAGGGACAGACGATGATGTCTAACTTGAAAAGTCGATACCGACCGTTTGACACCGAGAATCTTCCAAGTACGGTCCGCGATGCTATAAGAATCACCCGGCGATTAAGCGACCCAGAGAACGGACTTGAGCTATGCTTCCTCTGGGTTGACTCGCTGTGCATCATCCAGGATGACGTTCAAGACAAGGAGATGGAGATACACCGTATGCAGGAGGTCTACGGCAACGCCGCTCTCACCATTTGTGCAACAATGACGATCAAGGCCACGCAGCCGTTGCTGATGCCGCGTCTCGCGTGGTCAAAGCAAGTCAAGCCATGTCGCATCGGCAATTCCTGGCTTACCGTGAACCCTACGGCGCCTGCTAGTCTCCGCTCAAGAGCCCCGCTGTCTCTTCGTGCATGGACACTTCAAGAGGAGCATTTGTCCCCGCGGCTGCTTTTCTGGGGTGGCCAGCAATTCAGCTGGGCATGTGGACGTGGCGAGTACATTGAGCAGACATCTTCTCCTAACTCTCCTCAACCTTCTACCACTCACATAGGCAAATTCCTTGCTGAGTGTCGCATATCGGAACACAAGGAGATCTGGCTTGTATGGAACTCCATCGTAGAGTCATACACGGCTCGGAGCCTGAGTAATCCGGCAGATCGGTTCAACGCGTTGGCAGGACTAGCGACGCGGTACTTGACCGCTATTTCCGGGTACAACGAGTATTTGGCGGGTTTATGGCGGGAAACATTTGCGCAGGATCTCTTGTGGCGCGTCTCTAAACCACCAGGGCTTGATATAGGATGGCCACGCACGGTAGGAGCCCCGAGCTGGTCTTGGGCGAGTCTTCCTATCGGTCTGGGGGCTCGCATGTGGCACGAATTCGAGATGCCGGCCAATATGGAGCTGCTCGGTGACGTGGCCAGTGTCAATACCGAGGCATCAGAGGCGGTGGCTCAAGGGTCCAGTTTGAGTCGTGTCCGTGTCCGAGGGCTTCTGAGAAATCTTTGGAGCCCCGGATCACAGCTTCGGGAGTGGGACGACATTTGTGTCTGCGTGGACGGAGTCAACAAGTTCAGCTTTGGTTCCAACCCGGGCCAGGATGTCCACGCGGTCGATCGCCTCACGGGTAGCTTAGTTGCATATGAGGCGCGGAAACAAGAGATCGTCGCCGGGTTGGACTACTGCAGGCTCGCGGAGGACATTAATGAGGGACTGTTATTGGAGGTTCACTGTCTTGCCATATCCGAGCATGCTATGCTTCTCCTGCGCCATCAGAATGCCACGAAGGCTTTCCAGCGAATAGGCATTGGCTTTGGATATCGACGGGATTTCTTTAGAGGGTTGAAGAAGTTGGAAATTATTTTAGAATAAACAAGCATGATAGCGAGAAACGCATCAACTTTCAATTTGGAGTGGCGTGATGTTCATCAAAATTCACTTTCGAGTTCTTGATTCATATCGGAAACCCACTGTATGCGAGGATGTCAAGTAGCAGAGCACCGGCCTGATGAAGGTAAGCTGATGACTTATTATGAGTTCAGACCCATAAAATTTGACCGAAAGGCTACAACATGAATCCCTGACTCGGCCCTGAGCATCACAAGGATGTGTGTGAGCCAGGGGACCCCACACGTCCTCATTGCCTTGTTTGAGCCTATTGCCTCTCTTGGCAGTCTCACGCAGACACTCCAGTCCCATCATCTTCCAAACATTTCCGCTCTCAACGGCCGCTAGCCCTTGGCATGGTGGATAATCGATATGAGTTCGTCCGTCTGTTGGCAGACCACTTCCACTTCTGTAATCGCATCTTCCGGAATGCTACTATTGTGAAGGCTCCAGCTAGTGGATGGCATTTGATCAACCAGGAGACTTTGGCTAATCCCAAGAGAAACAGCACCGCCATCGACCTCCTCCGCCACATTCCCTACGTGCCGAGCATGACCTTTTTTACGCGCCTATCGTCATGAAATACACCCCTATTATCCACTATCGCCATGAGGACATCCAGAAGAAAATCTGCGACGGCAAAATCGAAGGCACCGCTGCGCCTTACACTGGCCGAGACCCCCCCGATCCCGCCTTCGTGCGTCGGCATCGCAACCTGCAGGGGTAAGAGTGGCTACCAAGTCATCCTAGATACCGACGACGGCTACATCTACTGGGGCGACCCGAAAGGGCAGCACGATGAGCCCGCGCCCGAGCTGAACAGCACTCTGGCACGGTTCGCGGGTGATGGGCCAACGAATGGCGTAACGAGTTCAACGTGTATGAGCCGGCTGACTTTTTCACTATCTGCAAGGAGAGGTTCCGGGAAATGAACTGGATTGGGCTTGGTTCATGAGATATGTCCATCATGAGGCATAACATGTACTGGGAATATGAGTCCGAGCCCGACTCTGATTCTGATCCCGGGGATGATTTCAGCCATAACAGGCTGGTTAGGAAGATGAAGAAGGCGGGCTGGCCTGGTGACAGAGAGGGGCGGAAATGGGATCGTCCCAAATTTGAGAGACTGGTTGAACAGGGCAATGATGAGGAAGATTAGCATGCACTAGTGACATCTTCCGGTGACGGAGAACAGGATCAATCAAACAAATCACTTAAGTAAAAATCAACATGTCTTATCCATAGTAAAGGTAAAGGTAGAAATGTGACTACGAGTCCCTCCGCGGTCTTTAATGGCGTACCTAGCTTCGTATCACACTATACGTGTTCATACCGCACCAGTCCTGGAGTTTAGTCACCTATGGAAAATACGATATTGATGCGATGATACGATTAACCGCGGTCATACTCCATTTGTGATTTCAAAATACTCTTAGACATTGTTTCAAAACTCTGAGTGCGATGGGGGTTGTCGACAGGTGGCCCTGGATATTGAGATAACCGTCCTAGAGATTGAGTTACGCGTGTGAAATGCTTAGCTACTTGTGGCATTCCAGTCTACATTAAGGATGATAAGGTAAAAATAGACTCAAATGACAAAAGCTGTCATTCTCATCTAATGACTGTTGCCTGCAGCTTTACTGAAATTGCCACCAGTCAAAATTGAACAAATAACCTCCTCCAATGCCAATAAAGTTGAGATACAGGTCATGAGTGCCAACGGCATCAACCACTGGGCAGGATACAGTGATCCAAACATCCCACCCTCCAGATGATGGCACATGACAAACTCCAATAAGTGAACCAGCACTATTATCAAGACGTAGTTCGATATCGCCGCCAGCGGTCGCCGACGAAACTCGCGCCCTGAATTCGGTTGCACCATTGTCGAATGCGACACCCTTGACCTTAATGAAACCCCCATTCTCGATAAAAGAGACCTGAATGCCACCATCCCCGATCGCATCGGTCTGGATGCCTTGAGACCATGCGATCGTCTCTGCCTCCTGGCGAATGAATGGGTTCAGTGCAACGACTTGCTCTGGCCCCTCTGCGGTCATATTCATCTGAGGAATCGAACCATTTGAGGTGTAGGTGAAGCTCTCGACTGAGACTGAGCGAAGGTTATTGCCACCTCCAACTAAAGCCCCGTTGTGATAGAAAAGGTAAGATTTCCCCGCAAATTCAATGACTCCTGGGTGATTCGAGTTGGCTCTACCCTGCACGGGCATAATGAGACCGCGATAAGTCCAGGGGCCGGTAGCACTGGGCCCAGTTGAGTATCGGAGATCCTCACTACAGCAGTTTGCAGCGAAAACCATATAGTACAGGCCGTTGCACTTGTAGAACCAAGGACCTTCCTCAAGTGTAGTCTTCCGATAAGGGTTTCCGATTCGCTCTCCGAAGCTCTCTACCGTGAGTTCAACCTGGATAGTATTGCCGCTGTATGAGACCATATCCTCGTTCAGTCTGACGTATGAATGGCCCGGGTTGCCCCAGTATAAGTAGGCCTGACCGTCATCATCGATGAAGACGGTTGGGTCGATCTGACCATCTTCGACAAGAGGTTTTCCGATTGCGTCTCGATAAGGGCCCGTGATCTCCTCGCTCACTGCAACGCCGATGGATCTTCCGCCGGTAGCGTCATTGGTGATCGTAACGTAGTAGTAGAACAAGCCGTTTCGTTGAATGACTTGTGCAGCCCATGCGTCTCTACTAGCCCAACTGAAAGCCGAGAGTGATAGAGGAGAACCGTGGTGCTGCCAATTAACCATATCGGCTGATGAGAAAAGACGCCAATCGCGCATGTCGACAGACGGTGCTGTTACGTTCTCATCATGTCCGGTGAATAAGTACACTCTGTTGTCGAAGACAATCGGGGCAGGATCTGCCGTATAGATAGTTTGGACAATGGGGTTATCGGCTTGGGCAAATCGAGCACAACCCCAAAGAGTAGCCACAAGTAGAAAGGCCTGACGGATGTAAGAGGACATCATAATGAGGGATAGGAGTTCTTTCCAGCTTGCTTTACAGTGAGACGGATTGCGTGTAAGATCTTGACTTTAGTGAGCAGACGACCGAGGTTACTTAAGGCCTCAGGTGCCTTCAGATGTGCAAGTGGCGACGCCTAAGCAGAGTGCATGAACAGCCAATATCACGCCGACGGTAATTGTAGAGGGCTCCCATGCCGGTGGGAAAACTACTACACCCCGCCGGAATTCTCAATACCAGTTCGACGAAATGCCCCAAACGTCAAGGGCCTATAATTTGAAATCCCGGCGGGGTGCGTGAGTTCCCCACCTGAATAAAGTAGGTAGCCACCATACCAATTTTGCAGAGGAGTTATCCCATCGGTCACGAGTCGATGCCAGCACAAGGGCACGCATTTCAGGAAGAGATAATAACGAATTGTATGATAGTCTGAATATATTTACCTTGTTCTCGTAAATTGAGAAAACTGAGGCCTACTTTCTAGTTAGAGAAAAACTGGGGCCTTGGGTGTTGACGTCAACCCGCTCATATTATCAAGCACATCCAGTACCAAACATCGGCTGGATCTTCAAGTACTTGGACGTAAATGAGAGCTACCTAAAATTGTCTGCTAATTCATATCTCACATGTAAGTTTGTCTTGTGACAAACCAACATGTGAGATCCCGGCGGGGTGTACAATCCCATGGTTTAGTGACGGTTGAGATCCCGGTGGTGTGCCATTCATCTGGTCGGAAACGTAATAATTGGCAAGGTTTTGTGATTTGAATTAGTCCGAACGGTACGCCTGCTGTAATACACCTCTCCCATTCACTCGGATAGTTCTAATCTCCACACAATATCGCATATCTCATCTTGCGCCATCCTTTGGTTGTCAAGATCAGCTTCATGTGTCCGGTCTGGTTTGTAGAGATGGGCCTCTAGGGACTCAGCACTTGCTTCTCGGCGACCCGAGCCAGTCGACTTGACATGGCATTATGCATGCTACACATCATCGATTCTGACGCATACTAATTTTCTCGGGACTTCGTTGTAAGTTAACATCCATTTGACTGAGCTGCGCTATCAGGTATCACGACCCAACCAGCTGCGGTGCTGGCTGGACAGCATGCTACAATGACGATGTGCTCCTTGCCAGTCACCGCTGAAAGGCCTTGGTGTGCATTCTCTCCTGACACTCAATAGCTCTGACGCACGCTGGCATACCGAGGAAGATTGTATAACCCTTGTCGAGCTGTCTCGAACAGGCAAGAAATCGGTATATCCTCCGTACACCTCGAGATCCGTCTCACGACGCGACAAATCTTGTAATTGCAGAGTGCAGGTTCGTTCTAAGCCCGGTGTATTGAAAACGAGACAGTTGAAGCGAAAAGTATTGACAGCAAGCCAGGATACTAGCTATCTTGAGTGACAGCATCGATCCCCCAGCCCCGTTAGATAGTTCCAAAATAGCTAAAGAAAGGGGCTATTGTTTTCATTTTTCAATTTGATGAATGATAAACATCCAGTCTCCAAAGATGATCGTTGGTTTATCGCCGAGCAATTGAACCCTGAGGAGGCAGCCCGAGTCGCTATCGTGTTAGTACTGTACATACAATTACATGTAATGTTGGATTACCGAAGAAATGGGAGGGGACCCAACAAAGCCGCATTGGAGCGCGAAAACGCCGCGATCGTCACCCACCATGTCCCATCAAAACTGCAGCACCACTGAGAGTTCGAACAAAAAATAAACGAAATAACATACAACACCAGGTATTCGCTGATCGTCACCGACTCAACTACTAATCCGGCCCTCATTGGCTTATCTATGGGAGAGTGGACGGGATCCCGAGTTTTCCAATGGGTATGGTCGTATGTGAAGGTATCGTGAGATTTGCGGACTTACCAGGTAAGCAAGGAGAGGACGCAAAGCTTTACTTCCCAGCTCATGCACCTCTTTTGAAAACGGCTTCCAGTCAAAATGACGCTACGACGGCAAATGACAGTTGAGAGGAAGCTGGCTCTTTGAATCATGCTACGCATTTTATTCACTACCGCTATTTCTGACTCGGTTGGCAAAGTAGGATTCGATTATCGTGGCGTTTCGACAATCACCTGCCCGAAACGGGCTATGTCAACTATCTCAATCATTCTGGACTTGAGAGCCTGGGATGCTAGCCATGAACTCGGAGTTGTTCTTCCCAGCCCATTGCCCCGATCGCCTTGTGTCGTTGATCGCTACCATCGGGGATTTCGTGACGGACAGTGGAACACGCCTGGCACTGATGACAGGAGATTTGACCCCACCCAAGGCTGGATTGTGCCTCCGTGCGCTTTGGCTGCTGAAGGTCTTCTGGCGGTCATCGGAGGCGCTCCACCACGAGGAAGCTGTGAGCCAGCCGGGCAACTTGACCACTACCCCGGACCTACATGTATTATCACCCGACTCGAAGGAAATGCGCAGGATATCATGATCAGGGTGACTATACTCTGGGAGAAATTCAAGAAACTCGACAGATGAGGTCACTGCCTTCTCTGTGTCCACATCGACAAAATTTGGTTGCGATTTGACAACAGTTGGCATCGTAGGAGATTTCCAAGTGTGAGAAGAGGACCTAATGACAAAAGCGTAATTCTATGTAAAATAAAGCGAGAAGTAGTTTGATTAAGTTTTCTTCCCTACGGAGAACTTGTGAGGTTGCCTCGAAGAGGCATCTGTGAACCAATGAGAGTGTAACCTCAACTGCACCCTTGTCTCCAACACTCCCGTCCTTGATTGCGAACTGTCAGTTGCGCCATTTCTGTTGACCGAGGGCGAAAACAACTCATTGATATGGTCGGTTAAGGAAAGTTGATAAAAACTTTGATCTCATCATGGACGTTGAACCGGGCGTAGTAGGCCGGCACATCCTCTATCGAGATACTCGCCGAAGCGATGAAGTGAGGACTTGCTTTGCCGCTGCTAATAAGCTCCACAAGCATCGGCGCGTACACCTTGGGATCGACCGGGCCGGCTTGGAACTTCAAGCGTTTGCCAAAGAAGTCGGACAGAGGGAATTCGGCGATGGGAGAAAATGTGGATCCTAGAGGAGAGCCGGCTGAGTCTGTTTGCGCCATGTACACACCAACTTGACCAATGCCACCGCCGACATGGGTAAGATTGACCATTTGATCCAGGATGATGTTAGGCTGGTGCTCTAGGGTCGAGTTGAGAGCCTCGATGCCAACGCAGTCGACGGAGCGCATAACTCCGTTCGGTTCGGAAGCCATAATTTGGGCGACCGGGTCGCTGGCGGCAAAGTTGATGGGAATTGCTCCGATGGAGGCGGCGCGGTCGAGTCTGGCTTGGACGTGGTCTATTACGTAGACCCTTGAGGCGCCTCGGAGAGTAGCTGAGTAGGCGGCCATGAGCCCAACCGGGCCGGCGCCGAAGACTGCTACCGTATCGCCTGTTTCGAAGCCCGAAAAGTCGAGACTAGCCCAGCCTGTAGCGAAAATGTCGGAGATTGTCAGGTAATCTTGCTCAATGGTGGTGTTGGTTGTCTCCCGCGTAAGCGGGATGGGAATCAAATTAGAGTCGGCGAATCGGACTCTTGCGTACTCAGCTGAATCATGCTGCATGTTAGCCTCGGAAAGCATAGTGGTAATGAATTAAGAATTCTCATCGATGAAAGCCTTATGGACTGGTCTTGAGGAAAGGAATGATGGCTTACACTGGAGACCATCCGTAACGACAGCTCCGTTGCCGTAGAAATCCAAACCGGCGGGCTCCATCTCGAGTCGACCATGGTTCACAGTGTCAGGGATGATGACGTAGTCACCTACTTCCAGCCCGGCGACTGCGCTCCCAAGCTCGGAGATGTAGCCAATAGCCTCGTGTCCCATGTTCCACGGAGGAGCACCTCCCTGGTAGCCGCGGTATACGTGTAGGTCAGAACCACATAGAGCGGAAGTCGTGATGCGGACTACGGCGTCGGTCTGGCTGATGATGGTGGGCATGGGAATATTTTCCACGGTCATCTCACCGGGTACACCGCGGTACATGACGCCGCGCATGAAAGCGCCCACAGTGTTGTTCAGAGCCATGACGAGGAATGAGAACTGTGACTGCTTGAGGTGAATGAGGAAGTAAGCTCTCCTTCATTCCGTTCGGGGGTGCCATCTTTATATGTTGAGTAGCTTGGCTCTTGAATTTCTTACTTGCTCCATTCCCTCAATACAAGGCTCTTCTAGCCAAACTGGAAGGAATTTCGCAGCGTCTTAGCAATCGAGGCGGTGTCCTTGTCCGCGATCTCGGCCACTGCTCCGGTATACGTCAGATTTGGCATGAAGATCAGCACAAAGTCACGGGCCGACTCAGGTGCTTTACCTTCCTTAGTGCATGTAGATGGCCTAGCTGCATAAGAGAATCCGCTTTCTAACACACCCCAGGCTCGACCCGGGCCATGGGACCAAACCAGCGTCAGCCGGTTAGTTCTCTTAAGTCCGGCCAATCGCTTGACGTTCGCCAAGTACCTTGCTACTGGCTACTGGAGTACTGTAACCGCAAGGTGACTAGGATTGAAGCCTCATCTTTTGTGGTCGATATCCCTTTGAGGAATTTTCTGAACCCGTTGAGTCACATTGACAAGTCGTCATCGGTGCAATTTTCTCTATCCTTTATAGTTGCCACGTTTTCTCTGACGTAACAGTCGATAGATACAAAATCAGGGCAGGATGGTTTGACCCAGGAACTCTCTCATTCTATGAGACGAAGAACTCATGCCCTTCCAGAATTGGACTGTACACCTACAGGACACTTCTCATGTACGTGAGAAGATACGCCAGGATGCACAGAGTTGGAAGGATGGCCTCTTTAGGAATGATATCGATCTTATGGTAATAGAACAAAAATGAAAGGTAGATTAAGACTGAATTGCCTGTTCCCACTTATCTTGGAAAAAAGTCACACCGCCAAGTCTGGCAGATAATTAGGAATGGATATACGAATTCATAGTGTAACATGTTTTCTTTATCTCTACGTATGCGACAGCTCAGGTGTCATGGGTCACAACTTGAGTGACTGATAAAAGTTACATGTAACCTCATTCGGATGAAATTGCTTTGGGAGCTTCAACCCAGTCAAACTTCCCCATCAAGTTCGTCAGCCACACATCCCCGGGATGGTAAGCTCCCCTAGAAGCGCCTCCGAAAAGCGAGGTACCGCTCAGGAAAGTATGAGGGAATCCAGGATCAAACTCGTGCGAACCCTCAATCTCGCGGATATCCTCCTCAGTGAGAGCGAGACCAAGTCCCTTGATGTTGCTCTCGATGTGGCCTAGCTTCCGTCCACCCACAATAGGGAAGACGAACGGGGCTTTGTGCATGATATAGGCGACTGCAACGTCGGGAAGCGACGCGCCCTTGGCGTTGGCGACCTTCTCTAAAGCCTTGGAAACCTTCTTGTCGTGTTCCGAGGCTTTGTTCTGCCTGCCCGGATTGTGCTTCTCGCGCTCCTTGAAGCCTTCCTCCGTCTGGAAGCGGCCGGCGTTGAGAACGCCCCAAGGGCAAAGACCCATGCCTTCATCCAGACACATGGGGATAATCTCCCGCTCAAAGTCGCGCAGGGACGCGTTCCAGTTGCCTTGGTAGACGACGAACTGGCGAAGCCCTGAGAGACGGGCGTACTGGTTTGCTTTGGCTACCACCCAGGCCGGGGTGTCCGAAATACCCAAGTAGTGGACTTGGCCAGAGACGACCAAATCATTGAGGGAGTGCATGACCTCGGGAATGGAGGCAGAATAATCCCACCAGTGAAGGTACAGAATGTCTATGTAGGTCGTTTGGAGGGCCTTCAAAGATCGTGCAACGGAGTGCTTCAATGACTTTGTGCTGTTGCCACCGTAATTGGATTGAAGCTTTGACTTGTCATGGAGCTGGTAGGCACTACTGTACTTGGTGGCGAGCACAATATCGTCGCGATTACCTCGCGATGCGAGCCATTCGCCGACCCACTCCTCGGACTGGCCGGCCTGGTAGTTGTTTGCGGTATCGATGAAGTTGCCGCCCTGGGAGTAGTAGTGATCCATGATTTCGAAAGCGGTCTCCTTGGTACATTCGCCCATGGTGGCTTTCTGCTTCTCGCCGAAATTCATGGCGCCAAGAGCAAGTGGGGACACGCGGACAGCCGCCGTCGGGGAAAGCTGGCGATGCCGAGCCAGGTAGGTGTCTAGGGGTTGTTGAAGTTGAGGGGCCATATTGGATGATTCTGAGTGTTCAGAAAGCACACTATTTGATGGGTTTGGTTCTAAGGTAACAAGTTGGCGCTGTTGAAATGAATGATTTGAGTTCAAGAGGGAATCACATTCATTGTGGAAGAGCCGTCAGCAGTACTTATAAGATTCGCTTTCATGACAGAGCACACTCTCTTGCCATAACAATGTTGAGCGGACTTTTCGTCTTAAAACCTAGCGCGCTGCTCCAAAGGCGGCATTTGGCAACGTGGTAACTAGGTCCATCAATTGACAGCGTTCGGAATTAAGCTGGAGAAGTACTGACACTAGGAGCGTACAACTGACCTCTCGCTGATAACGGTTTCAAAGGGCGACTAATGTGGCAACATGCTAATGCTGTGACTGCGTTATTGCGGGTTTGGGGCACGGAGATGGCAAGTCAGTTGGCTCTCAAGACATGAACCGATTCCGAGCTGCAGATGGAGACTGCTTCACCTTGGTGTAGCGAGGTGGACGGTACTCCATTTCTGGTAGTGGACGTCAGTCTTGTTGGCAATTTTCCCTTGTAAACCGAAGCAAAGAGTCATGATGAGCAAGAAACGACGTCAGCAAGAAAGTCTGAACAGACTCGGAATTAAGAATGATGCTGTGATTTGGCGGCTGTCTAGTCGGGAAATGGGACATGCTTCTTTGACGTTGATGGTTTACCTCAGCTTCGGAGCGAAGGTCCACTTGATCTATGCACGCTACTGCAGCCGGCTGACGCGGTACGTACCGTTTTTGATCCAGACTACCCCAACTTCTCGTCCTGCAACCTGCTGACGCGGATGATTCAGCAATTGTAGAGCCCTTGAATTCCTTATGACATTGGAGCGTCTCCGAAATCGACTCTTAAGGTAAGCGTTACGGAGGAGAAAGTTAGCTAAAGAAGGGTTTCAATCCGGTTTTCATCTCGAAGGAGAGTTCAGTGGAATTATTGATGTCAGTTTCAAATCTCGTTGGTATTCACACCGTAACCCTCGATACAACGGTGATGCTCACTTTGCTGACCCCAGACGTAGGAAGGCTTTTAGAAACAAATCTTTGCAATATAGTGACCTAATGGTCTTCCTTTAGTCTAAGCACACATTTTGCAGACAATTACGAGGGATGAATGAAGGCATAATGTTGAGTAAGATCTCATTTGCTTGCTCGCTGGCTAAGAAACTACAACCTTCAGAACAACTACTGTTTGGTCAACATTCGAATTTCGCATTTATTCGAAGGGCAGTAAGTCAACTTATTCTTTATTTAGCTTAGCCAGGAGAAAGTTCTTAGCGCCACCCACAAACAAGGGTTAGAGGTCTTATCTCAAGTTTCTTGAATTAATGACCGTCTGTGGGGCAAAGGTGGCTCATGTTGTTTTAGCACCAACCTTCGACTTATGATTGCCAATGACCACGGCTGAAAAATGTCTGAAGCTGCACATCTGTAGGCGAAATACGCATTAAGAAGTTCTCGTTGTGTAAATATGTTTCTATAGCGAATTCATTATGTCCACGCCTCGCGAAGAAATTATATCCATGCCTCCAGTATGTTCTATTGATTCAAGTCCGATTTCTAATGACTTGTTTGATGAATTCCCTTTCAAGAGTATGAAATGTATAGGCCATTATCGGCGTCATCCTGCATGAACACACGACCATCTTGCCCATTATCGAGATTGACCGCAAGCTCTACGACGATTCTTTCCTCACACTTCACACTCGGGCCGCCGTGTGTGGCCGGGGCGGAAAAGTCAGGCTGATCCCAGAATGTGAAATCCATGCCCGCCGAAAACTTGCTGCCTTCTTGAAATGGCGCAATGGTCGTCGGGTTGATCAGCACGTCGCTTTCCTTGGTCCATGTTGGGAAACCATCGGACTTGAGCTGGCGCGAAGAGACGAGGCCGTTGCCGTCGACGCGGAAGACGCGGGTCTCAATTGGCCCCTGGCGCCAGCCGAGTGAGCAAGTTGTAGCCGAGGGCGGAATACCGGTGAAAATGACAACCTGGCGGGTGATGTTGGTGTGCAAGTCAAGATGCGGGACGTTGTCTGTGGGGTGGTTCGGTTGCGTGGCGGATTGATAGACGTTGAAGTGTTGAGGATGAGCTATCATGTTCGGCGCCACGGCTTGAGAGCACTCGCGAGTAGCGTGGGGCAGGGACGCCGCAAGGGAAATGATGCTGCCCAGGGCGAGGAGGAGCTTGGAAGACATTTTATCGCGGTTGAGAAATGCCTGGAGAATACCTAGTATGTATTAGGCAGGTTGGAGCAAGTTGTGATGCGACGGAACTCTGAAATTAGAGAAGCTTGTTTGGATGTAGGCTGTTGAGATAGTGGTCATGATAAATAATCTGGATAAGAGCCATGTCTTTATATTTACATTCCGTCACTAAGAAAATGGCCTAGCGCCTCACGATAGCCTCATGGTCGCGGTGCACAGCGGGGCTGGAGCTGGAGCTAAGGTAGGCAGGCTTCCGTTGGAAGAGTGTCACGACGGGCCCAAGATCGGGGCCCGGGCTTAGCCCATAGCACGGCTTCCGGCAGGGCTCGAACAAGCCTCGATCCAGACCTTAGCAAGTCCGCCAAGTGGTCCGCAGCAATGACCGCAAGACCGGAATGTCATCCGGATAAGCATAAACATAGGCTTCCATCAATGTTTCCCAACTTCGCCTCACAGAAGCTCCGGATGAACCATAGCGGGATCCGATGAACTCTAGCTGAGATCGGTGATACACATGTTGGAAATGAAGCTAGGTGAAAGTGCGAGGCTCAGCGCAAGACGGAGCACAGCATACAAGTTGGAGAAGGATTGGCGTCTAAAATTAGTCGTCAGCATTGGCGTGTGAAGGATTCGGTGGATGGCTTGATGAGCGGCTGAGGCTTAGCACACAAGCTTGGCAGAGCAGATGCACACTCGTCTCGATTCTGATTGAATTGAATCAAGTCTTAGATTACATGCATAATAAATCACGTAAGACTGATATGATATTAGCGCTTCTTTTTTTCACATTACCTTCTTGCTTTTTTGAGAAGAACGACTTTCTGCTTAACTTGAATGCTCAAGTTGTGGCATTTGTAATTGAGTAAAAGGTGTAGAAGGAGATGTAAAAATTGGCGGCATCTTTTGACTTAGTCATCACACGCTAGGTAATGGGAGAGGTAGCTACTATCAGTCAAGCAGCAATTTCTCACCGATCATTAATCGGAATCATGCATTTACAGTTATAATACGTTTGTCTGATGTTGTTGATGCGCTATTTCAAATTGCGACAAAGCATCACTGTTTTCTACCGATACTTTGCTGGCATTCTCTCATCCCCGATCTCAAGTCAGGAACAGAGGCAAAACCAACACCCCTGTTCTACCCCGCTTCTCACGATATCATCACACAATGTCGCAAACAGCTCAGCTTCTACTGAACAGCCCTACCCTCATTGAATGCGCATTCTGCCGCGGCCTTGGGTTGGATAAGTTTAGTCGAGATCGTGGCTCAAACTTGTCGAATCTTGTTATAGTTGACTTGCGTCAAGTGCGCAGCCGTTCCAGTCATGGGTGCGTTGGATGCTCCATCATTGAGAGGGCCTTGACACACTTATCTCCCGAATGGAGAAACTTTACAACTGGCTCCAAGTGTGAAAAATGTCGGCCGGAAGCTTTTAGACTGTGTAGGACAGGCGACTGTACCAAGTCAGCGTTTGCTCTCCTTCCATTGGTGGAAACGATAGAGCTGTGCTACCCATTTCACATACTCGATGATCTAGCCGCCGGGCCTGAGAAGAACCTTGAGCTGTTCATCAAAGAAGGCAATGATCCCGGATGCTGGAGAGAAGAGGTATTGCGGCTAACAAGTACCATCTAGGGCGGCCACTCGATGTGGAAGAAACCATTCTCCTAACTAGAGGGCGGAGTTCAGAACAGGGCTGGCAGGTGAGGCTGCAACAAGCAAACGCATGGATTTATCATTGCCTCAAGAATCATCAATGCAACGGTGGGTTAGCAGCCAAGACAATTCAAAAAGAGGATGAGAATGAAGTCGGTGGCAGAAACGAGAACTATCCAGAGAAGGGTGAAAGCTCGGGCGCGATTCTGCAAAACAAATCGTTTCTTGAGGCTCACCGCCAGATTTCAAAATTACCTCGAAGAGTCCTTGATCTTCGACAATTTGGCTCAGAAAACAGGCTGCGTCTCATGGATTCTATGGCGGATTATGGTGATTATGCTTGCCTGAGCTATACGTGGGGTCGACAAAATACGGGTGTGACGACCACACAGAATCTTCATGATCGCCTAGACGACCTCCCATACGAGAGTCTTCCCGAAACATACAAGGACGCTGTAACGGTTGCTGCATTCTTGGAGATCCCTTTTTTGTGGATTGATGGCCTTTGTATTATCCAAGGCGATATCAACTCCAAGGACTGGGCCGAGCAGTCTTCACAGATGGCGGAAATCTACGGAAACGCAATTCTCGTGATTGCAGCTGCTGATTCGAATAGTGTTGAAGATGGCTTCCTCTCCACACCACACCTGCCACAAGAACTCTTCAGATTTCAGTCTTCGCAGTTGGAGAATCTGGAGATTGGGAGCGAAGAAAGTGCCTTGAGCGTATTTGCTAGAGCTATGTTGGACCACAGTTGGCTTGGCTGGTCCACATTGGCGGAACCGAAATCCCGCGGGACACTGAGCCGCAGCTGGTGTTTCCAAGAGGAAGTTCTTGCGTCTCGGCTCCTCACCTTTTTTGGAGGTGAGATGAACTTCCAATGTCTCGAAGACGAGTATCGATGCGAATGTGCATTCCCTGCCGCGCCTCTGGGTCTCGTCACCATCAAGGAGCTGTACGAACCTCGCTTGGAACTAGGCGATATGGAAACGCCAAACTGGATGTGGCAGAGTACCATCGAGCACTACACACGAAGGAAGTTGACGGTAGCCACCGATAGGCTTACTGCACTATCTGGAGTTGCCCGGATTGTGCAGTCAAGTCTCCGCACGAAGTACGCTGCCGGTCACTGGCTGGATCACGACTTCCTTTGCAGCTTGTGCTGGGCGCCTGTGAGAAATAGGGAAACCGAGCGTACTTTTTCAGAGGACTACGTTGCTCCATCATGGTCTTGGGCAGCCCATAACGAACCCATCACCATGTGGATCCCTTATGGCGGTTCTGAAGAGCCGGTCACTCCGCGCTTCCTCAATAAGACCGTCGTCCGCAATGTCGACATCACTCCAGCAACAGAGGATGACACAGGCGCGGTGATTGGGGGAAACATAACTGTTAGCGGCGTCTTTCTCGACATTTCGGTACTGACGATATCAAGAGAGCAATCCGCGGGCATCATGATTCGAAACTCCGAGGAAATACCTTTTTACTTCGATCGACCGAACGAAGAAGTAAGAGACGGGGACAAGTACTTTTGTTGGGTTGTTTGCATATTGCCGAGCCCGTCTGTTAGCAAGAAGAGATCTGAGACCTACTGTTTGATGGTACTCCGCAGTATGCCTGGCGGACCTGCTCATCTTTGCGAGCGCGTAGGTTTCACCGACTTTGATCGAACAGCTTCTGACCCTTCTATGAAGTTCTTCAAGGGGTTTAGAGCTTCGATAAGGACTGCCGTGATAATTTAATGAGTTTGCATCCGAAATAGGCGTCTGCGCCAAGATTCGCATACCAAAATCACCATTTGCGTTTGTGCACTGAGATTCAATGCGTGCTTGAATTACCACTCTGGCATCTTTGCAACAGAATTTGTTAGAAAACGAGTTATTGTCAGACAGGGCCCACCAAATCTCCAGGTATCAGTACTCTTTGTACCTACTAGACATCAGACTCCGAGTTACGGGAACGGCATTGCAGTCCCATGTAGGCGGACGAGTGCACTCCCAGGATTCGACTCAGGGGAACGTTCGCTTAGGACTTGGCAGCTGAACGGGACGGAGGTGACATTTATTAATACCCGATGTTTTCATCCCATCTCAGATTCTTCGCAGGCACGGCTGACGTACAAATCGCCAATTAAGGAACACTGGCTTATGCTAGAGTTTCAGATGGTCGATTTCCCGGAATTCCCTGTGATCCCTCCCGCTTGCCCACATAACGTTGCTCTTAAGTGTCGGAGCGGTAGGCAGAAAAAAAAAGGGGGAGCTTTACCACAGCTGGGCATTCAACCAATCAGCTTCACGTGGAGGCGGATTACTGATCTTTTGAAACTCTCGGTAAAGTCTTAGGCGGTGATACCATTTACTTCAGTCGGAAAAATTTTAATATGCAGAAAATGCAAAAAAAATGGTGAAGTGTGTTGAGAATGGATAGTCAGTTTTAACTGTGGTTGTCGCATCTGGATCTTGTCATGTGATACAATCCAGATGTGCGTTTGAAATTTTCTCTCAGCCTACTCCTCCCCGTCCGGCCGTTGTAGAAAGGCTGAGGTGAGCCGTGAGAGCTTTACACACCTGCTCAGCCTCGCTGTAAGTAGAAATAGAAACTACAAAATGGCTCGTCAAGGATCATATCCCGTGGCGGAGGCGGTTCAGTAAGGGGCTCCGGGGATCACCTACTCCGTATGCCATTTTAGCCTAGATCACCCCGCCTGGAGCGGAGGAAGCAAGGAAGCTTTTGCCCAGACCGTCCCACCGGATCCTGCCGCCGCGTATGCTGTGGTGTACCGTACGCGTGGTTCATTCTTCCAGCCGATCCTGATAATCTGAGCTTTCGACCGTTGAGCACATGGGGGTCGTGAGATCTCCTATGTTGGAAAGCGACAATAGCCTGCATTGGAAAAAATAATTGTGACAGAAAATTTGGGCTTTTCCGACGTCACATCGTTGTTGATCAAATTTTCAACGGATCTTGCCTGCCAATGAGATGGTAATCCAGCATCTAAGTCCACAGAACACTACGAGAAACTTCCTGAACAATGCAATGCATATTCATTGGAGCAGCTCCGCAACAGCCTTATGGGATTCCAGCCGTGAAGGGTATTATATGAACATCGGCGTAAGACGTCCGGTATGGCCGAGTCGCCGGAACGGTGGGGGCGCGGCCTCTTCCGAGGATGGAGCCGGTGGACGGGTGAACGTGACGTGACGGGCTGTCCGCAAAAAAAAGGACGAAGGGGAAAGAAAAGAAAGGAAAATCCCGCTCCGCCTTACCCTACGGATGCCCGATGCCTGTGCGTTTTTTCAGGGTTCGATTCGGCTCGTGCGTGTTCATCCCACATTCCGAAACGAATTGTGTTGGTTGACGTAGGTGCCATCTAGGATGGACCTCATTCTAGAACAGACGAAAAAGGCACTGCCGTTGACGATTACAAGGCCAATGCCTGTTTCTTCTTCCAGACACCCACCAACCGCGCGGTTGCATAAGAAAGTTGCGATGATAGATGAGCAACTACGTACACCGGTGGAGTCTCAGCCTCAGTGGCCTGAGCCGCGATATGTGATGATGGGTATGGATGATGGTGGTTTTGTTGGTCAAGAAGCTTTTTTTTACCAGGTTTTGTGGCGGGGAGATCACGTTTTGCCACGGATCTCCCGGACAGAGACTCATCAAAGTTGGCTCACTTTCCTCTAGATAAATAAGGAACTTGAATCCCGTCAGAGAACTTCTGCTCATGCCCTCATCACTTCTAAATCAAAGTAAAAGTAATTACTCCTCGATCAGTCCGTCATTACTGCAAGCTTCCTGCAGCCTTTATACCATCGTTTAAAAACCACTCAAGAATATCAACAAAATGCAGCACATCGGAAGCCTCCTTTTGGCCTTTGCCACCCTCACTGCGGCAGTTCCAGGACTTGCTCCGGCCAGCGTGAGGTCTGCTAAGTCTTCTCACGTTCGCCGCGCCGACACTAGCTCTTTCCAGATCTACGCTTATGGCACTGGGATTGGTGGCCTGGCGTTGTTCACTGCTGGAGGTAAGCTATTTCCCCGACTGCCAGCTCGACGCGAAGTTTTTCTTCAAGCCCATAAGGTTCCAGTCGATACCACCTAAAGATCGACCCGACTCTTCACCTAGTGTCTCTGGAGGTGCAGGAACTTTACCACTAGCCCGGCTCGGCCTAGAACCTGACTTCCGAGACATACCGTTAGACTAACACTCATTTGCACAGGCGATGCCTACTTTGGAGACTACACTCAGTTCAACGACTCCAATGCCGCCCCAGTGATCTGTAAGTACCAGCATCCCCACTTTCCTTTTTTGGCGACTACGGGACTGACCGGACGATCGATGACAGTCACCCCTGAAGAGGATGATACTGAGACATGGCTCGGTGCTCCCAACACCACCGCTGTCACCACCGCGCCCACTTGGTCCAACCTGACCTTCACCATCCCAACCGCCGACTCTGGGGTGCACAATGTTGCTTTCCTCAACAGCAGTGCATCGACAACTGGACGCAAGACCAGCGGCTTCAGCTTCTACGGCAACTTCGTCCTGGTTGAGGCAGAGGACGGCAGCTTCGAGTCTTGGTGGTATGCTACTGCCACTGACATTGACGGCATCTACAACCTGAGATGGAACGAGACTGGCGACGACACCGATGACAAGATCATCCTGAATCTCAGAAGAACTGCTCCTTCCAACTAAGTTCTCAGCTATTTTTGGATTTTGTATGTAACTGGTCAAATTAGACGGGTGTTATCTTGCGGTCTGTGAAATTTGGCTCTGATCGCAAAGTTGATCATTACAAGGAGTGCAACAAGTTTCGGCCTAGCAGCGGCGTAGAAAGGTGGAATGTTTAAGATGGTGCAGATAGACTTCGATTGTTTTCTACAGTAAATTCATGACTCTAATTGGGAGGATCTTCAGCAATCGACATTTCGAAACCCTCGAGTGAAAACTAAACAGTGCAATGTATTTTGCAGACGAAATGAATAATCAATCCTATAAGGAGGCAATCAACTCGAGATTATGATGACCCTTTACCTTCTACCAGACCTTCTATCTACAATTCCCAAAGCAAGTGAAGACATCACTGCGGCTTCGGTCTTGTGGTCCCGGAAGTGGCTTGTTGTCGCCCCCCTCATGAGATATGCCCCACCCCCACAACCCGATGTGAGTCTTCATCACCCGCGGTCTTGCCGAATCGGTCACGACATAACCTCATAGTCTTTGCCACGCGCCTCTTTCTACCTCCGCCCTGGAGGATCTGACTATTTGGCGGCTGTGACTGACTATTGTTAAGGTTTTCGTTGTCATTTCGCAAAGGGTGACTGTGCTTTCTCGGGTGGATAGAGCCAGTAGTCAACTCGCTTTGTAGGAGGCTCCTGTGAAAGAGGGAACATCAAACATGCTACAAGAGCCAGCATGCCCGAAAACTTCGCCCGCGCCTACTCTCTAGGCCGGTGAGGTTTAACATACAAGTACGAAGACATCTATCGTGTCTACTAAAATTATCAGTAGCCCTGGTGATGCGTGCTATCCCTTCAGGTACGAGATAACGTTCGAATGTTGATTTCAATCTCTCCAACTTCCCAAGTTTTTGATTTGAGAGTATGAAGAAAATAGGATCAGTATAACTACAGTTTGCTATTGCCCTAAGTAACTAAACTGACGTTGTCTCGCAGTCGACTGGATCTCAGGTACGGTCAAAGCAAACATGATATGCCAGGCGAGCTAAAGGCGCAATGTGAATATCGGCGCTTATATTTGACCTTAGAGTGAAGTTCTACTGTGTGTCAATTTGCATTTTGTTAGTGCCCATCCGCTTTACGCCTTCCCCTTTGACCACAGATAGAAAGAGCCTTAATCAGTAGAAACGCATCGATCTTAACATGAATCCTGCGTCTTTCCAGTCACAACTCGTCAGACTCTACTCCACTCTCTTCATTTCCATTTACACCTGTCGCTTTCTGTGCTGCAACCACTTGTTGAGCAATCTCGGTCCAAAATTCACATGCCTTCTTGGTGTTCTGATCGTCTGACTGATCTAGTAGGAACGCAGGCTGGCCGCTAGGCGCATACACTGTGAGCACATTCTCCAGTTCGTTCCCACTGTTACCGTCGGCGACCGGCCACGTTGGCGGATCTCCCTTGGGTACATGCGGCATCGGGAGTGTATTTGGGTCGCCGCCTGACAGAGCAAAAGACGCGAAGTAGGTCTGATATGCCTGAGCCACGTGCGTATCTACAAGAAGGGAAGCATATAGCGCGGGTAAGGGGACCTTGTTCTTCTTCAAGATGTCCGTGGCTTCCTGGAGGTTGTTGGAGAAGAGGGCCACTAAATCCGCCGCGTGGCGGGCAAACTGGCCGATCGGAAACCCGTATCGCATCATGTGTGCTATGCTTGGATATGCGGAGTACAGATCGCGGGTGTTACAAACAAAGCTGGCGTCTCGGATCACAGTGGCGATGCAGAGCCGATAGTCGCCGTTATAGGGGGATTCGGCACATGGGTATTGGGCGGTTATCTGTTGGCGTTGAGACGCGAGCTTGGCTCCTGGGAGGAAGATGTTGAGGAATGCGGTAAACGTATCGGAAGAAGTCACCCACGACGGAGTGAAGGAAGCGCTCTCATTGAGGGTATGCGAGACAATGATTGACTGGATGGATTTCCAATAATTACCTGAGGACACAGGGTTAGCGACCATATAATACCGTAAGGTAATCCCCGCAGAGCACATGATCCAAAACTCACCACTTGCAAATGAAACGGTCGGAATCGTGGTAATCCACTTCCCGTCCACAGCGGGTCCAACAGGGAAAAGACCCGTCTGTCTGACAGTGTTGAAGAGCTGCTGGTTTGCCGCTGTCAGGTTGGTGGACTTCCTCAAACAGTCAATATCAAAGGTCAAGCCACAACCAGCAAGACTAGAGAAGTTCTGATAAACCCGATCCAACTTGCCCTTCGGTTTATTATCCCACGCCCATTCAAATGCCGGGCTCTGAATGGCAAAAGTCTTGAACGTGGGATCCACAGCACCGTCTTCGCGAATAAGATGGTGAAGGATGGACCCGGCGCCTGCAGACTCGCCCCAAGCACTGACCTGAGACTCATCGCCAGAGACTTGACCAATATATTTCTGCACCCATTGGAACAAAAGAGCCTGATCGTACAGCCCCGCATTTGTCTGAGCGTTCTTTTGCATATAGTCTCCTGAAAGCCAGCCAAAAGCACCGAGGCGATAGTTGCCAGCGACAAAGATTGTCCGGTATTTGCTTGCGGTGATAATAGATCGACCAGTGTACAGAGGACCTAGCTGGTTCTTACTGCCGAAGGCGAATGCACCGCCATAGAGCCAAACAACCACCGGCATAGCCTTCACCTTAGTCGATTCAAATGCAGCCTTTGGTACGTAAAGGTCGAGAAACAAGCAGTCCTCGCCTTGCTTCGTGACTTGGTCATCTGGGGTATCAACAGGATCGTCACCGCCTGGTGCGTTATCGACATCTTTCGGGTCAATTTGAATACAGTTACGTCCATCGCTGACGGGCTGAATAGATGTATTCATCCATGTTGGGAAAGCCGGAGATCCAAATCTTGGAGGATTGGCGCCGAAGCGGACATTCTCAAACAGATAGATCTTCTCATATCATCAGTAGAAGGTTGAGCAGTGAATCGGACTTAGAAGTGTTGACATCGGTGTGGGGTACCTACATTTGTGTCATCCTTCATGGGCCGGCCTTGGTATACTCCCCATGGAAGGTTGAGTGTGGGTGGTGCTGCAGCCTCTGCATTGAGAGTTGGGAGATGGGCAAAGCCCGTTAAGCTGTACACTAGCAATTTGGTAAACATGTTGAAGAGAAATGGTAGAATGAGAGGAAGCTTGTGGATAATTGGAAGGGACAGTCTCTGCAGGACCAAATGACCCCGGTCAGGTTGAGGCTTTTATGATCTCATGTTGTCATACAATGCTCTTATTGCCAAGGGTTGTTTCTGTGCTATGTATGTGATGTGATGTGGCGCTGAAAGTAATCGACTTGTGCTAATACGATGTGGTTTTCAGTGGAGAAATCTTTCCTGCCTGGCCGTGAGACTTCCTACACAGACAGGCATGTCATCAACGGAGACGGCCAAGATCGTCAAAGTTTCAGCCAGCCATTACTGTCGCTCTGCAGGCACCTTAAGTCACTTCCGAGACCATCCCTGCGCCTTTGGCAGGCGGAACGGCACGCAACTATCCTAGGGCAATTGCGACCATGCGGTCCAGGCTATGTGGGTCCCGGGGATGCGGGAAAATGAGACAAGATCTCCTCAGATATTTCAGCTCAGCCTAGAAATATCATTTCTCAGAGCAGATCCTTGATGATGTTCACACACCACCAACAATATGCCCAACTTGGGCAAGACGTGGCGTCCTGTGCGCCGGTTCTAATACAGCACTGGCATGAGCTTGAATTGTTTCCAGTGGCGGTGTGCGGTCATGCTTGATAGACATCTTGAGCGAAGCTACGACTTAATCCCGAATACGACTCTTGGCCCCCAAAGCCAATCAGGTGTCCCCGGCCGATCTCAGAACCGACGGAGTCATCACACATTTTGACCTCAGGCATATCGGCGAAGGTTAGTAGGAGCTTCACATCTGGTGTTTGATCAAGTGGGTCTAGGCCTGTCAGAGCATAATGGCACCAGTCTTCTCCTAAGCACGATATTGGCAATGAAAACTGAGAGCATTGACTTCTTGTTACAACGTTTATAAAGAAGTCCGCATGGAAGAGAGAAAGTAATAAACTACAAAAAGGTGCATAACAACTAATTGGCTTAAGTTCTTAGCAAGCACTATAAGCGCATGCACCTAGGTGCTCACCCCCGGATGATACGATGGCATTTGTTCCACCCGCGGGACCAGGTAGTCACGCACACTGCGACGCCGCATGGTAAATGACTGTAGCTAACCAAAAGCGATCCAGTCAGCCCCAACAGTGTACAGAAGACTATCGTCCCAGGTTTCCCCGTGCCAAATGAACCCATCAGGGGTGATCTTGTCCGCAAAGACCTTGACCCTCAGCTTCTTGGCACTATCCATGTCAAGCTCGCTGAGACCAATGAAGACTTTGGGCGTCTTTTCAAACGCACCATTCCCCGCGAAGGTGACCTTGCCCTTGGTCTTTGCCACCGGGGGAAACCAATCCCGCACATTTGAGGAGCTGACCTTGCCGCTCTGGACCCCTTCCTGATCTGCGGGGTGGGCCACCCACGAGGCGCTAGCGCTGTAGCAGACGGTGTCTGCCCAAGTCTCGATGACCAACTCAAAGCCTTTGTGCGTGATTGCTCTGGCAAAGCACCTAATCCGCCAGTTTGCATCCTTTCCCAGGTCAAGGCCTGTCAACCAAGTTATGATTCTGGGAGGCCGGCCCTCTGCGTAAGTGTCCCGCAGGAATTCAATCTGCGTAATATCTTGGCTTAGAGTCAAGCCGGTGGCATTATCTCGCACCTGCTTCGCCGGCACTCTCAGATCTCGGTCTTCAAGCGTGCTATAGGAGCCCACTGTGCAGACATTGTTAGCATCTTGGGTGGAACTTTGAATAATCTCAGGTTAAGTTTGTGGCCCATACCTTGGTATTGTTTCTCCTTTCCCGAGAATTCGAGCCACGTCGCGCCAGCATTCTGCATCACTGAGTCCGACCAGGTATCCATGCTTAGCATGAAGCCTTCTTTGGTGATGTTCTCGGCTCCAAGGCGTACCCGGATGTTTGCGTTGTTTGTCTCGTCGAGCTGCGTTAGGCCGAGGGCCATGCGGGGCGGTTCGAGATATGGCGGAGTGAAGTCAACTGCCTTCGAATTCAGAGCGACAACGTTATTCTCAGATTCTCGAATTCCCGGTACGATGTCAAGCTTGCCATCGTTGCGCGTACGAAAAGGGTATACCCTGTTAATGAAGCTCTTGTCGTTATCTGAAAAGTTGAGGTTCTTCGGGGCAGATTGCCTGTTCACGGTCCACTCGGGAGGGAACCAGTAGCACATGATCGAGTTGGAATCGAAGGGTGTCTTCGTTAACCTCGTCAGGTCAGGCTCCAGATTCAGAATTTGCTGCTTTGTCGTTTCTTCGTCCCATTTGTAGCGGGCAAGACAATCAGCAATGACGCGTGCCTTGTCCCATTGGATCTGGTTGGCTTGATGTTCATGAACGCAACCGATAGCGTGGCCAAACTCATGCAAGACAACGTGGCAGATCTCGCTCTCCCTAGAGTTCTCGTTGATTTCGGCGAAATGCATGGTGGGTTGATTCTGCGATAGGACGTACTTGGTCGCGTCCCTGCCAACATACGACCAAGTACCTGCGTATCCCGGCAGACGGAAACCGATCCGGATGTCCGCATCAGCTTTGTCGGCGTTGGCTATGAACTTGAAGCTGATATTGGCAAACTCTTCCCATCTCTGCGCCCAGTATTTCACGCTCTCTTGAACCTGGGAACTACCATTCAAGAAACGGACGTGAAGCTTCTTGCCAGCAGGCCAGAACTTGTCACCATTGACAGCCAGATTGGCAGGAGCGCCATCCTCGTCAACAAGATTGCCTGCAGGAATAGGTTCCGAGTCTGTCTGGAGACCATCGGTGCCACAGAGAGGAAAGAAGATCGTGCTTGCAACAGACATTGTAGAGTACTGATTGGGGTTTGCAGACACAAATTGCGGGTTGAAGTAATTTGATGGATATGGTCGAAACTGACAGGATCTTGAGCAGGGGTGGGAATCCATTTTCAATGGTTGGTCTGATGTGGGCCTTAAAAACTAAAATACAACTGCCGTTTCGTGATCATACATCTCGACCCTCAATAATGAAAACATTGCATACTCCGTAAGCGACCGCTTGCAGCCTGTCGCTGTAGACAGAGCCCTTCATCACGGCTGACTGTCATAGAAGAGGTCAGACACTACAGAGCGAATCAAACCACACGAGAAGGTCTGGGAGGGAAAGTTACACTTCTGTCACTAACTACTTCTGGCCACTCTCATGAAAGTATCAATACACGTAATGTTGGAACCCGCCAAAGGTTGTAGCCAGACTCCAAGGAGGTACTCTCCTAAGGCTATCCCAATCGAGAGATACATGTAATGACCGCGCAAGGCCTCGCTCGAGCGCCGATCAACGCGGCAGGTAGTTTCAGCCAGCCACTCCGGCTCCTCCGCTTCCAGCCGGTTCCTGCCTATCCCTGCACAGGTTTGGTCAAAGCTGACATCGTTAGACAGCCAATCGTAACTTGAAGGCTCACCTGCCTGTCTGTCGATCTATAGATCCGCAATTACCCTGAAAGCAGTGAGTACTTACACCAGAGTATAACACGACATCTATCTAATTCCAAGACAGAAGTGAAGAGACATTCTGAGGGAAAAGGTGCATGTAGTCTCCACACCGACATTTCTGTCGCCATCTTGGCTGAGATTATCTCATGATATCGAATCTTATGTCCAACCTCGGCAGAAGTCAAAGGGACGCTCATGACTCAAACCGGGTGCGTCATGGCAGGAGGCTTTGAGTGGATTCGAGCGTATATTTGCGAGCAAATTTGGCGCAGCGATCTCACGCCCACATTTTGCTTTCATCGTGCGTGCGGCTGAGTGTTGCGATGTCTGATCATAGACAAAAGCAGATAAACTCCATGAGCAACAACGTGATATCAGTCTCGATTACACACCGCCACTTCGTTAAGATCGCCCACGAGACAATAGTCGCTTAGTGGCGGGATAATGAGCAGATGCGTCTGGGACCAGCAGGATTCTCGCATCATTTGTGTGACCTATGATGATGATGTTGGCAATTTGTCATGAAGAGGAAATAGCAACAGCGACCAAGATCTGCATCTACATACCAGTCATAAACGCAAGTTTCAGCTCAGTCTCGAACGCAGTGGAGCAAGTTGACTTCAAGACTGCTTTGTGGACTGTGGCTACGGCAGAGACTGCCATTGGTGCGCGAGCTCAGGGTGTTGAGCACTGAATAGCCTCAACAGTTCTTGCTCGGCTGCTTAACGCTGAGGAGAAGACATGTGTATGGCTGGCTAGAAACGATCAGCTGGCCTATTTTGTGATGTATCGCAGAGCGGAGGGAGGTTAGGAAGTTCCGCGATGTAATTAAGACATACGAGAAAATGTTCAAGAGGGGTCGGATGAATCTCGAAGCGAAGGCTGAACTTGATATGCACAAGCATTGATCCACAATAGTACTGAAGGGAAGAGGGGTGGCCGCGGGCCAAGTTCGCACCCAAATTGATACCCTAAAGCTATTGAATAAGTGGCTATGAGGGTTTACATGAACTATCGAGATAAATATAAAACCCAGTAAGTTCCCAGGTTTCTGGAGGGGAGAATTATCACAGCATCACACGCGTTCAGACTTTCTCTTTACCTATTACTTTGTCATCCTTGGTAAATTACCACTTCCCACTTAAGGATCAACCCTACTCCCTACACCGCATTTCATCATGGCCGAGCAAAACGTTGGTGAGTGAACTTCGCCCCTCGCCGCAACTGAATTGGGCTGCATGACTCTAAACACACGTGCCTCGTATAGGCGCCGTTATTGCCCTTTCGCCCCCCGAGCAGGGTGACAATGTCTGGGAGGCGAAGCAGGTTGAAATCGTCCGCAACCTGCCACCCGGAGATGATCAGGGACGCCATTCTATTGACTGGAGCTTTGGACCTGTCAAGGTACGTCTGTCAGAGGTTTTTACTTTAGGACAACTTCATAGCATCAAGCAGAAACGATTGCAAAATTGCTCCTGCAGGTCCAAAACTAAGCCGTCCTTTGATGAATCCCAATTAACACTTCTTTCTGCAACATAGGTCACCGGTTACATCGATACGAACACATACGAAGTCGGTTTGAGCGTCTCGATTGCCGGCATTAATGTTGGCAACATCTTTGGTAACCTCAAAGACGGCGTTGGTCTCAAAATCAACCTTTTGGCTGCCAAGGGCGAGATCAGATTCTACCTCAAGAACGGAAACGAGGTCTGGATTCACCTTGACGTCAAGATTGTCTTTGACGGCCACTACGAGGGAGATTACAAGATCATCACTATCTGATAGATTTTCATGTCTGTAGGATCATCAAGCTTACCTGTACGGAGCGTAAAGCTTGATACTTCATGTTACTCATTGCAAGACCGACAAACCGATGTAGGCGTCGCAAGCGATCTTAGCAACAGTCTTTACCTTAGGTACCTTATTTGACAACAGTCAAAATTGAAAATCGGTGCTTGATTTCAATGCGGACCAGTTGGCAGTAATAAAATGAAACATTTAGTATGAATCTTGAGACTTGGCCAGAGATGATGACTTATTCCACCAATGAAACCAAGATACAACAGGACCTACGTGAAACTGAGTGTCTTACCTTATTACATGTTCTTCACATCATATCCCAAAATGATTTAAAGAGATGTCTCTGTGCAACATTGCATTTCTCGGCTATCCTCGCTATCTGAATGCTCCATAGCAAGTCCGTGACCTCATTCATACCGACATTGAACGCACAATTCCACGCCAGATTACAAATCGACTGAGTCGCAGATGATGCTCATGCGGCCTCAATAGAGATACTAGGGGGAGGCTCTAGCATTTGCCAGTGTAGCAAGAAGTGGCACCGCAGCAAACGTTCTTGTGGTTGGAGCAGGTGCAAGACCAGATCTGGCGACTGACAAGCTCATTGACAACAGCTTCGGCGCGAGCTTCAAGAGCTTCAGCGCTCTCAAAAACAGGAGCTGCCATGGCGAGAGCGGCGAAAAGGCTGATGATGGTGACGGGGAACTTCATTGCGGAATTTTGGTAAATCTGAATAGAACGGCAGCGAGCGTCAATGATCCATATCGCCATCAGGGGCTCGTTAAAATCTTGCGGTGACATCCTTACCTCGATGATAATAGATTTTGTGAATTCTATGACTTAAGCTTTTGTGACTGATTCCGAATTCGAGGCTGTTGATCATGAGAATGTGGGATAGAGGCGGATGGAGGGGAGCTCTATTTATATTCATTAAGAATGCCTACTGTCTGTGTATTTTCGCGATTAGCTTGCCAAACTTCGAGGCTGTCCACAAGGTATCAGATCGAAATATCATCTCAGAAGCAGGAAGGTGTTTCGGAACAAAATCCGTTTGGTTCCTAGCGCAGTGGCATGGAGGCACAGTAGCTACCACATGTCAACCGAACACCCTTGCAACGTTGGCGGAAATTCGGGGATAGTAACCGTAAGTAGCACGATATAGTCGTGATTAGCAGATCCAAAATCCTTGCAACGACACACTGCATAATATGACGGGTGCTTTCAAGAACTCAGAATAGGAAAGTGCAAACACGAGCTTCCCATGAACCCAACAGGTATTATTTCACAACGTTGAGTCTTACCTGAGTCAGCCATTTTCGAGAGTCTCTAGGAAAGCTAATGGTTCTTCCGAACCTCACAGATGCCGTATCCAATGTGTCCAAACTCGAAAACAAATATCGAGAACGAACTCAGGATACATACGGTAGGTCCATAATCAGGCCGTTAATCACTTGGTGCACAACCTGGACTCCTATAACCATTGGGAGCACGAGTTGTCGTGGTAGATGTCTTAAGCCTGAGTAGTTTCTCCAAAGTCAGTTTGTTCCGTTGCGTCTGAAGGATTGCGATCACCAAACTTTGCATGGAGATATAGACTCCGAAGGACTCGGTTGCATCAAAGTGGTACCTTATTGAGCCACGCACTGAAGGATCCGTCTAGTGAGCAGCCCTAGCTGCCTGTGTCTGCGGCGTGCATGCAGAAGGATTAACCAATACCTGTTGGGTATGCGACACTTGAGTCCAGAGTTGCCTAATGTTGACCAAAAAGGGCAAATGTTGCATTTGAGTCAAAAAATGACAACTCCAATGAGAAAGGACCTAGTCTGAGGACCTTTGACAACTTTCTGGAATGGTGTTTAAAGCCCAATGAGGAAATGCTTGCGGAGTATCGAGTACAGTGCTACCGCTTCGCATTCAAGGATCATCAACTCGAACGCGATGAGAGATACCAGTCAGTACAGTCATCTTTAAGTCCTGAGGCGTCAGGTGACATTAGGCTTTACAGCAGTGACACTCAGGACCCAGCTTAGGCATGTTACAACTCGTATTTATGACCTGATTTCTATCATATTTCCCACTTTAGTCTTCGGCCGATCCTCCCGACGCCCGACTGTTGTGATGGCCTGGCAGCTCAGCCCCCAACGCGAGATTCCTTAAAATTCAATAACAAAGCACGCGATGAATGTTTTGGAAAATCAAACAGGGATTGGAATTTCATGCATACTTTGCAGCCCGAGGAACTTTTGAATCTTATGTCTCCGAACAACGTTTAAAGAGCCAACTCAATTGCTGCAAGAGTTCGTAATGCATTGGCATATAATACACTGGCCGTACAAGCACAAATTGTCTCATGACTGTGGCCACTGCTCCGTCCCATCCGCAAAATGCCCATCTGTGCCTAGCATCCCCCAGAGATGCTCTAGCCGAACACCCCCAAACAGGTCCGTATTGCTGATCTCGGTAAACATGCCCGACAAATCCGGAAGCTCAAGGTCCATCAGGTCAATATCTGGGTCCACATTGACCTCACCGGCATCCCTCGCCGGTGTTTGTGCAGCCTGCCAGGGTTCGGGTGCCATTGTGCTCAATGACGCTCGGTTCTGACGATGACCAGATACAATCTCTGACATGTTGGACTGCAGAACGGAGCACGCTTGGATGAATCGAGGGTTCTGCGTGACTTTTGTGTACTGCTCCTCCGCGTACTGTGCTGCTATGCCCAGAAGCTCCAAGTCGGACCGGGCAAGCCGCGAACCGGGTTGTTTGAGAATGTGGAGAGCGAGGGCTACTGCAGACATGAGAGGCTGGGTCATTGTGAAGATCATAGACTCTGATCGATTGTGATGAGACTGGGCGAACATGCCGCCGTGGCCGCCGCGGGGCGTAGGGGTTGCGTCGTCTGCAATTTCGCCAATGAGCCTGGCCATCGCTCTCGCTGACCCGATGCAGATCTCTGCGCCGCGTCTGAGTCTCGTGAGCTCGACGGACGACAGTGCCCCAGAGTCTGCTTGTGTGTTGATGTGTGTTCGATACATTGACTCGGGGAAGACCAGCGCCGCCCGGTGGAGGGATATCAGGGCGTGGTGGTAGTGGATGGCGAGGAAAATGGCAAAGTGCTGATGCCCCGTATCGCACAGATCGGCATTTCCACTATTCGGGCCTGGAGGACGGATTTCAGCGGGTAAGGACTGAGCCCATTCCGTAAGTGCAGTATCTAGGCGGACCGTGTCGCCGAGGAGGATTCTTGATGTTTGGGATTGTCCAGAGCGGCGGTAGATGTGAGCGCTTATACTGCTGATAATTCGTGATAATGACGCCCAGGGTTGAAAGTAGTCAATAGTCTGTCGATCAGCCTGCGCTCCAGGAGGGCTCGATGCCGATAGTGTCGCGGGTGCCGGGACAGGAACTGGTTCCGGCAACTTTTGGTCACAGTCCGAGTCGTGAATCGCACTTGGACGGCCAGTCTCTAGCTCCATCAGCTTCTCGAGGGTATAGCAGACCCACCACACTTGGCTGTTCAGCTTCCGATTCGCTTGGTAGCCTGGCGATGCTGTTGAAGCTCCAGTATCTGGCTGGTTGCGGGAGTGCCGTGTCGAAGCATGTCGGTGAAGACCGATGGAATGAGCTATGCGGATGGCTTGGCCAAGTGTCTGCCATCCTTGACCCTCTTTGCTACGACCACGCAAGGCGATGGATAGGAGTAGTAGAGCTTGCACCGAAGCCAAGTATGGTATTGATATTACATGTGCCAGAAGACTGTATGCTGCAGTGAGGTAGTGACTGCCAATTTCGGCCAATATTCCGGTCTCTTCGTCTGCACCGATGCAAATGATGCTGTATACAGACACCAGTAGTGGAACTTGGGATGATTCGATGGAACTTTGTAGAGATCCGGACGCATCAGCGTCTTGCAGTGTCGTAAGTCTTCCAAGTTCAGAGCGAATACTGGGCTCGTCAAAGACGGGGAAAAGAGGGTACACCCTCTTCATGTAAACATCCAGGTAGGCATCGAGGGTAGGAAGTGGAGGCAGAGGAGGGAGTTGAAACGATAGGGGAAGTTGAAACTCCTCAACATGGTGCATACCGAAGCGGAAGTAGGGCGATAATGGCCGTAGACCTCGCTTGCGAAAGAAGAGATCGGCGAACATTGTCAGGGACTGTACACTACTACCGCCCATGAACTTTAGCCGATGTGGACTCTCATCAGTGTTGAGCGCCATGTCGGGGTTCAGATCTGCATGCTCATGAGGGCTATGGTTCTCCCGCGCGTTAGCACGGTAGGCCTCTGCGACCCATGAGAGCTTTCGCAAGGCTGCATCTTCGGCTTCAGAGCCGTCATCGTACGCCGGCGAAAGGTACTGCCGCGGACGCGGAGAGACAGCGCGAAGAGGATCTCGAGGTGTCTCGGAGACCTCGTGTACACTGCCGCCACCCTGGCTTTGGGCGCTGGCGCTCTTGGCCGCCCATTTCCGCACAGCGTGTTGGTTCGGATTCCTGGGGTTTGTGGTCTGGCAATCATCGCCGCGGAGGATGCAGTTGTGACATTTTGGAGTCTGCGCGTCGCACCGGACCTTTCTTTTGCGACATTGGTTGCAGGCCAGAGACAGTCGAATGCGTTTCGGATGGGAGCTTTGCGGTTGTTCACCCGAGCTGGATACGGAGTCGGGCATGGCTGCTGACGGAGAGTGAATGAGCAGAAGTTTTCGGGTGGGAGATCCGGACGGAGAGCCAGCCTTCTCCTCGGTCGAGGCCCGGATGTCTTCAACAGCAAGGTATATACTGAAGACCCCTCACAAAGGGTCCTGTGTCACTTGGAGAACAGATGGGTTGCATTCGACAAGAAAAGGGATACGTGTGCCGGCTAGTTTATCTTGCATTTCCCCACGCGGGTCTGACCCGAGCGTGGGGCGCACTTGACGCTTCCCCATGCCGATTCTGAACCTACTAGTGCCAATGTAGACCGCAGTCAAGGGAAACCCCGCGTTGGGAATCCGGGGGCGGGGGGGACTGCGGCATTGTGCCTCGGGAAGAAAGGCCACTCAATACACTTTCATTTGTAATGTTAGCTCAAGTTGTGTTTCATTGCTGCTAGAGCTGCGGATATCTCAGACTGCGTTCCAGTAAGTTAGATGTGGGTGCGTGGTGTCCAGTTTAAGCTATTCCCTCACGCGGGCCACAGTCCGACTCAGTGATGAATTAGCTCCACAGAACCTCAATTCTTTCATACCTATCTACAAACTACACATACTTACCTTACCCCTGCTGTCTAATTGATGAACATAGACGAAGTTGCAAAGCTTTTCTGATCTAGACATAAAAATTAAAGTCGGTCATCAAAATTGGGGTACAGAGAAGCTGAGAACATGGACGCTCGACTATTGATCGGCTGGTTAGGTAAAATCAAGATCAACGGAAAGCTTCGGCATCTTTGCGGAGTCTTAAGTTGGCCCGATTATTGGAAAAAGCAAATCAATTGCACGCGAAAATCATAGATTGACATGTTCTCTTATATGATACTAAGGTCAGGACTATCAATATGCCTTCACCGCCGCCAATTGCAGCAGCCTGTCCGTTACGATAGGCTTCTCCAGAGGTTCCTCGCGCTCTTGTGGGTCAAGGACTCCGTCCCTCTTTGCTTTTCCTTGGGGATGGATGTTTGTGTGCGGCCAGTGCGTGGTACCCCCCCACGAACGGAAAATATCCGCCTTCTCTTTCAATGCCTGTGGGTCGGCGAATTTGACGGGCGTGAAGCAGACGTACTGGGCGTGCCTGATTTGAGTTCCCGTAGGATGTTTGGCATAATGCATCGATCTTCACATGGTCAGCATGAAGGATTCCTGGAAACGGTTGATGTAGAGATGGGAACATACCGTGAATCCCAGAGCACCAGGTCGCCTGGCTCCAGGTTGGGCTTGATGAGGCGACATCCGCGATCCTCAAACCACTTGACATCGTCTTCCTTGAAAATGAACAGGTCACGGTAGTTCGCTTCGGGAGGTGGGGCGTCTTCATGGTTTGCCATCTCGCGTGTCTCCTTGAAGAATTGATCGTAGAGCTTAGCGGAGCCGTCCATCAGGATGAGGCCGCCATCGTCATCTCCGTTGGGGGCGAAGTTGAGAAGACCTTGGATGCACTGAAGACCCTTTCTCTTGGGATCTTGGTCTGGAATTCCTCTTTTAGAGACTGAAGTCATTGGATGGTCTGTGAGTAGATAGACTTACCACAGTGGGGCCATGGAGACCACTTTAAGTCCTTCTGGCGAGGAAGTGTGATGTTGAACATATCGAAACTGACCAGCAACTCCTCTGTCTCCCAGATATGAATGAATGGGTTCATCACCCCAGGCTCCCTATCAAAAGTTCAGCTCACATACCACGAGTCAATGCCCGAATGCCACTCACATTCTTGCTTCCCACGCGAATCGCTCATGTGGGGCGCAGTAGGAACCATACATTCCACCCTTGAACGAGACTGGGAGATGCTCAGAGGTCCAGGTGTCTTCGTTTTCCGGATCGAATCCCCGATTGAAAGATTTGAGCCAGTCGACCTGCTTTGATTTGTAATACTCAGCTCGCTCAGGAGTAATAGCGTTCTTAATGATGGCGTAGCCATGTTCGAAAAAGAAGTCGCGCCAATCACCGTAGTTTGACTTCGGGGTTAAGAGGCTCTTCGACATGTTTGATGTTCAAGCGTGGGTACTTGGTTAGATTGGCTATGCGTTGAATGTGTCAAATCAAGCTGTGATACTATTAGCTGTGAGGAGAGAGATGCAGCGGATTTGGATCATCTTATCATCTTCCCTTTGACTTTATGTCTCGTCTTCTTCCTACTCCAAAAAGCAGTGCATAGATCTCAACAGTGAACTCGCGAAGCCATCTTGAGACCGCGGGCCAGCCTTCCCCGCATAATCTCGTCCCTGAGTCGATCTCTCCTGTCTGAGTGTGCATTCCCTCGGGCTTCATCCTAGGCCCGGTTCGGTCATCCGTTTGACCCTTGGCTGATGAGACAGCTATTGTGGCCGCGGGCTCCTCGGTTCGGTTCGGTTCGGTTCGGACAGACTCTCCGGACTCCTCTTCTCCGCAATTTCGTAACAACGGCGGGGCCGGCTACCCCTCGATCTTAGCTAGATCCAGTGCGGCGCACTCCTCACCCCACAGAATCGTGCATATCCGCCTGGGGAGCCCGCTCCGGGCAGCATTAGATCGAGACACTCAAGCTGTGGAACTTGAGCTTCGCGACAACGCGATGTTCTCGTGAAGCCATTGAATCAACAGACACGTTCCATAAAGAGAACTTTGCTTGCATGTTCAGTGATCTGACGAGCTCGTAGTACCCCTTTGCCTCACAGTATCTCAATTATTCAGTCCCCATTGTGAAGTTGCCAAATTCAGCCATGCCTCTTCCCATCCAAATTGCGTATAAGCCCATCGGCAAGCCTGAAATTGGCACCAACAATTATCAAGGCTTCACCCCAGGTCGAACCGAAGTCCTCCCCAAAGGCTGGAACGGCTACAATGCGAAACCTCTCGAGAGCGACATTCGAATCGATCATGATGTCGAGATCAAAGTCAGGGACGGATGCAGACTCTACATTGACGTATACCGCCCGGCGGACAGCACCGAGAAGATACCCGCCATTGTCGGCTGGTCGCCTTACGGCAAAAAGTACAGCGCTCTTACTATGCTCCCGATGACGCCATGGTCCTGCTGCGTGAAGAAGAGCGACCTCAGCGGCCTGGAGAAGTTCGAAGGTCTCGATCCGCAACGATGGTGCCCTAAGGGATACGCGATCATCAGCGTCGATAGCAGAGGGGCCGGCAACAGCGACGGTCAAGTCCCCATTATGGGATTACAAGATGCTGAAGATGCTTATGATGTTATCGAGGCCATCGCGAAGTTCGACTGGTGCAACAGAAGCGTTGGTATGGCTGGTAACTCTGCGCTTGCTATCGCTCAATGGCATGTTGCTGCTCTTAACCCTCCGTCCCTCAAAGCCATCGCACCATGGGAGGCAAGCGGCGATCTTTTCCGCGAGCAATTCGTCCGAGGCGGCATTTTCTCCATGAGCAACTTCGATCTTATCACCAGTGTCATCATCAAAGGCAACTCAGGTGTAGAGGACTTTGCGGAAATGTACCGTAGAAGTCCCCTCTCAAATATCTGGTGGGAAGACAAGCGTGCCAATATGAAGGCAATCAAGATCCCGGCCTACATCTCCGGGTCAGACTTTAGTTCCATCCACACAATGGGCAGCATCAGAGGTTTTATGGAACTAGATACTTCTGATAAATGGATCCGATGGAGCGCTTGGCAGGAGTGGTTTGATCTGTACAGCGTGCCAGAGACAAACGAAGATTTGGCGGTACGTCTCCCATTCCGTTTCAATGCTCCTTGTCACGAATCACGCTAATCATCGCTTAAGAAATTCTTTGACAGGTATCTCAAGGGCATCGAAAATGACTGGGAGAAGACCCCCAAGGTGCGGTGGACATCGTTGAAGTTCGGCGACCGAGAGCCCGAGAGCGATATCATTTTCGAAGACTTCCCTCCACCGAATACCGATTATAGGACCTTCTATCTCGATAACGACAAACTTTCCGAGTCTGCTCTCTCGAATTCCTCGAAAGTGTGCTACAACTCCGAAGATGGCAATTCGCTTGTCAAGTTTACCTACACGTTCGATAAACCCTCACGCCTTATTGGCATTCCGAAGGCAGTCTTGTACATGTCTTGCCCTTCGCACGATGATATGAACGTGTTTGTCAACATCAGAAAACTTGATAAGGACGGGAACCCCATGATGCATCTCTGTTTCCCATTCTGGGCTGCACCAGTCAAGTCGATCCATGACATCCCTAAGAAGGAGCAGAGTAGCACAAATTTGCATCTCGGCTCGGTCGGTCAGCTGAGAGCATCTCATCGAAGCACTGATCCGGAGCGATCGATGCATCCTCAATTCCCTTTCCACCCCCACGACAGGGAGAATAAGATCCCACCTGGCGCCATTGTAGAGTTGGAGATCGGCATCTGGGCCATGGGTGTAGACTATGAGGCGGGTGAGTCTGTTCAGGTGCAGATTGGCGGCCAGTTCCCCTCCATTGCTGAGTACAAGGCATTTTCAACCGAGCGGCCGGACTATGAGAGGAATAAGGGCGAGCATTTCATCCACTGTGGGCCAGAGCATCAGAGTCGGATTATCCTTCCTTTCATTCCATCATAGTCTCCTGAGCGCTAGGTAATTGTAGCACAGCAGCAGATGTTCCAATGGAGACTCATGAAGTTTCTAATCTTTTTTCGAGAACCATCCTAAAACGATGAGCAAGTTTGAGTGACCCATGTCTAGCAGTGCGTTTTTGGAGCTCCTTGCATGTACCTCCCGATAAAGTAAAAGCATTGAATACCATCGAAGTACGACTTTTCCAAAAGAACCAGTACTGTGGAAATGTTCGAACTAACGGCACTGTCAGTTGATGTGGCTCTGAGTTACAGGAAGCGTTCCTACTTCGGATGTCAGCCAGGGGAATTCATATGGTTCAAAATTCAATCAGATGCTGCACGATTCTTTTCTTCCGTACCCTCGATTTGCCCAGTCAAGGAAAAAGGTAAGCAGAGAGAGGGAATCAATTTCAGTAAATGTCAGTCATCAATGTGTAATCCTTTGCTCAGGTCCACTTTCAGTTACACTCAAACTACGCATAACTACCTAATTGTCATTCCACCTACCGCCACATTAAGACCCATACAATATGTGACTAACGCTGAAGACTTCATGTTCGGGACTCGGTCATCAACCCGAAGATTCCAACGAAAGCGTTTATCCATGCTAATGATTGTAAGACGGGGTTGTCGTGGTGTTAGCAATGGACCACTTCGAGACCATTTCTCTGATCTGGGTGCCCCAGATAAAGACAAAGATTCCAGCAGCTCCAACACCTGCCGTAAGAGCTCCATAAATGCCAAACGCACCATCGTACCCCATCGAGGCGATGAAGGGTGTAACTCCATAGCTCGTCCCGAAAGAGATGACGCCGCGCATTGCGCAGATAATGACCAGTACCGGGCCAGACCGTGTAGGGTACGCGTCGAGAGCGTAGGTAATGCCGACCTGGTTCGCTCCGACAAAGCCGAAGTAGTAGGCATTAAGAGCAAAGACAATGGCAAACCAGTGGTATCTGTCGGGGTGCTCGGCTGCCTGGCCGTAGATCACGGCCGCGAGTGTACCAACAATGACGGGAATGATGAGAGGGATAAGTCGGTATTCTGCTTTGTGAACACCGCCGTTCCTTCGAGCGAAGAATTTGATGACCCAGTCTGATCCTCGACCCAGAAGCGGCAGGGCAAGGAATGCGACAACGATTTGACCAGTCATGGCGAAACTGACGACTGATGATTTCCAGTTATATGGAGCTTTCTGTAGGATCTCGCCATAGGTGGTACCAAGAGCGATGTTGACGCCGCTGGGAAGGAAAATACGTTAGTGACAGTACACTGAAACTTTGTTGAAGGGGGTAGTAGTCGATGCCAGGGCTGCGTCTTACATGGTCAGTCCATTGAGCAGAAGTGCCCACATCATGTCTGGGAAGAAGGTGACGAGAGCCATGCCAGTACAGCATTGCCAACCTTCTTTCCAATCAGCCCTTTGGGTGAAGAGACGGAGGTCGGATGCGAAGGTGCGAGGCTTGAAGTTAACAAAGTCAAGCTGACGGGGCTCCGTGGTAGTCTTGCGGGTCAGCATCTCCGTATAAACCCCAGTTGTATCGTTGACTCCAGGACCAGCAGTGGTGACGAAGTGCGAGACCTGGGCAGTCTGGCCTTGATATGCTGCGAGCGGTCGGTCGTACTTCGTCTCAGGTACCATGAAGACCGCAAAGATGAAAGTAATAGCGGCAAACCCTGAGCCTAGGAAATACCAGCCAGACGACCCAATGCCAGCTGCTATGTAGGAGGTAAGAAGGGAGTAGACAGCGCTGAGAGTTGACTGCCAAAGCGTGAACCACATGAGACACCGGGCACGTTCATGAAGGAAGTGAACTTCTTGCACCATGAGCGGACAGAGAGCTTCACTCTGGCCAGCGGCCAGGCCGAGAACCATGCGAGCAACGAGGTGAGAGGTATATCCTTTCTGAACACCGCAGAGGATAGAACCTATGACGGCCAAGGCACATGATCCGAGGAAAACCGGACGCCGGCCTACAGCAAGTGCAAGAGGCATTCCGATGAGGTTCCCAAGACCCATGAACAAGGACGGATAAGTCATGAGATGGGAAATATCATCGTATCCTCTGCCTTCGGCTGCATATTCGGGAATGAACTCTCCGAGAAGGGCCCCAAGACCCGAGACTTGGACGAGACCGACCGCGGCAAAAGTCGCACAAGTCATTGTGATGATCTGTCCAACAATTTCAAACGTCAATCTTTGCTTGTTGTACAGGATACGAGTGTGGTAATCTTAGGAGGTAACTAACCCATTTTCTAAGTGGACTCAAGTTGAGGGGATCTTAGTTGTAGAATCGAACGATCAGTAACACTTTGGTTTATGTGACTTCGATAATCTGTAAGCTTACCCCGTGGATCCGAACTCGGAGTTGGGATAAGATAGGTGACATCTCCATCGGCAAGTTGCACGTTTGCCTTGAAATTTCCATCGTCCAGTTGCGGCTTTTGTGGAAAGTCAGAGGCAGACTCCACCCTTTCTTCGGTGATCTTATTGTCTATCTCGCCCATATTGAAGCGATCCTCTTGCGTATTTAATAACGGAATTTGAGCTCTGTTTTCAAGTTGAGAGACTGCTGTCCTCTGTCCCTTATCAAGGACGAAGGCTTCTTATTTGTGAAACAATTGTTGTTGTCAACGTTGAATAGATGCCACGGGAGACAGGTCGTATTTCTGCAAAATAGACACCCTGACAAACATCCGTGCTATCATTCGTCAACCTCGGATTCGTGTCATCCCCCTCGCTTCTGTTGTTCTTCTGTTCTTGGCAGACTGTCAAGCATCCCAGATTCAACCCCAGATTCGGTGTGGTGGTTGACAATCTGGGGTGCAGGAGAGGGGCCCCGGCTTGGTCATTCACTAGTTTGCTTCGGCAGAGTGCTATCGCTCAGCTTCGTGCGGGGAAGCCTACGCAAACAGGGAAGTTCTTGGCCACGGCGAGGTATGTGACAGCCTAGGGCGTTCCGGAATTGGAGTCTTCGGCTCAATATCCGTGCCGTTGTGTCTATGCAGTTGTTTATCTTCGGTTCGGAGTTCACGAGGGCTTCTCAGCTATCTTCCCCTTCTAATTTGGACCGGTATACGTTTTCCGGCTTGACTTGATGCCTATCTTCTCATCAACAATTTTCTGGAACCTGAGAGCTGCCCAGTCCGAGTCTTGAATTCGATCTTTGAACCGAAATCCCATTGTGCATGACAGATTCAGAGACTCGGAAAGCAAATTCCCGCCCGCGTGTAGTTTGATAATGTTGTGTACAGACAACACTGCCTATCTCGGCGTGTTCTAAACAAGCATGTTCATAGATCCGAAATGTTAAGTCCTCTAGCGGGTAGCAGGCCTGGCAAATTGCTCTCCATTTTGTTCCATCTCAGCGTTATTTAGATGGTATGGAGAGTAGGTGCGTCGTTTTGCAGTCATCAATGCATGCATCAAGTATCCCAAGTATGACCTTTCAGCCGCCATTCGGGACATATTCCCGACATACGGAATTACTACATTTAATAGTATCAATTTCACCTTTAGGCGCAGTTCAGGAAACTTTAGCAACGATTGTGACATTACGCATCTCAACGAAGGTAAGAATACAGTATCCCAAGTCTTTTCTCCGATTATTGCACATCAACCAACCAACAAGTACCCTGGGCATTCAGAATCATACCCGGATGTAAGGAATACCTGTTAGCTTGAAAGCTCTCTGGCTCAATGTCTTGTCGTTCAGTGGTCTATCCCTGACAATGTGGTCTGGCTTTCCATTTCGGGTAGCGGTGTTGGAGCCCGTGTGACGAGCGTTGGGCCAGTGGGTGGTGCCCAGTCGAGCTGTAGAAAGACACGTTGTTAGACCCAGATCCCTCTTTGAGGTTCGACTCAGATTAGTAACTTACATTCATATGCGGCCTGCTTGCGCAGGAGATCTTCTTGGGTCGCATCTGTGACAGGCATGAAGCAAGTGTACACAGCCATGCGATCAATCTTTCCCTTGACGGGGACATTGTAGTGCGCAGTGCGCGAGTCCCAGACGATCAGGTCACCAGGGTCAGCGCAGACCTTGATCCACTCGCCGCCATGCTCCTTCAGCCAATCCATGCCGCGGTCAGTGAAGCCATACCACTCCTTCGTCCAGGCTGGGATGCGCGGCTCGTCCTTAAGCTCTTTGTGGAACTGCGCGCTCAGATTGTGGGAGCCCTTGCAGACGATGAGACCGCCATCGTCGGGGCCGCAGGGGTGGAGGTTAACGAGGCCTTGAAGGCAACGGAATCCGGGCTTCTCGGGGTCTTGATCTTGATGGGGCCAGGGCTTGTTCTCGGGAAGGTTGGTGCGATTCGCGAAGCCGTAGTTGATGACATCGAAAGAAACGAGGAGGTCTTCAGTGCCGTAGACCTTTTCAAAGGCACCGACTACGCCGGGCTCACTGCGGATGTCCCAGACAAAGTCTTCGTGACAGGCACCGTAGGCCATCAGCATGCCCTTCTCATTGATGACGGGTAGCTTGTCAGGATGAACGGTTGATGGATCATTTCGATCATAGCCAAGGTCGCTACTAACAGTTAGGTCTCTGCAGCTGGACCAAGAAGAAGAAATATTGACTTACAATGATTCCAGAAGCCCGTACATCTTGTCCGCATAGCCGTCAGCGCGCTCTCTTGGGATAGCAGCCTTGATCACGGCATATCCGTCTCTGAGAAGTTCGTCACGCCAATCGCCGTAGGACGGGTCCTGGCCATCCATTTTCATTCTGCCATCATCAACAGTCTTGATTGCAGCGCTGGGGAGCTCGGTAAATGAAAGAGTTGTAGTAGCCATTGTTAAAGATTTTCAGATTCGGAAGGCTTGTATGTAGCACAACGGGACAGATGTGCGCTTTGATTCAGTCTTTTGGTGCTATCACAAATTGCAAGCTGTAGGTCTATTTGACCTTTCCCTGTTCAAAAGGCATTGCCACCAAAATCACAATTTGACTAACATAAGCTGCATCTTGCATCCCTGCAAAGATTTCCGAGGTTCTGCGCCGGATGTGCTGACCTCATTCCGGATGGGCACTGCGATCGAGCCCCTCGGTTCGGTTCGCACGCTCGGTTCGGCTCACAGAAGTTGGCTAATTGGAACACATCGACGCTCCAATCCCAGGCTGATTTGCCTGCTTTCACATTTCACGTGGCTGAGGGTCCAGAAACAGCTATCGGAATGTGGATGGGCTCAATTCGCGGCTATGCATATGGCATGGGCAAGGGACTGATGTAAGTCGCGGCCTTTTCCGAGGAAGATCTGGGCTTCCGACCCAGGCTCATCTCACACATGCCAATGCCGCAGTACTTGATCCCCTGCGCCGGTGCAAAGCAGTGAGAGCTGCACACTTTTAACGTCCGTCGTCTTTCTTCCACTCGTGTCAAAGTCAGTAGTAATCCTTGTCAAGATGCCTGCCCCAAGCGAAAGCAGCTTATTCAACATCATCGTGGTTGGCGGAGGCATTGCAGGACTGTCCGCAGTAAGTATTAATGGTAGAAGTGAACGAAATTGGACTCTCACTAACTGATATAGGCGATTGCGTTGAGAGGGCCAAATCGAAAAATAACTGTTCTTGAGCAGAGTCATCTCAACCGAGAGATCGGCGCCACAATATCGTGAGATCGCCCGCCACATGCATTTCCAAGGCATATGCTCTGTCAGAGACGAAGTGGACTAACAGAAACTCTCAGTCTCCAGCCAAATGCATCAAAGTAAGCCATGAGCTATAGAACAAGCGAGGTATTCCCCTACACGTAAAGTAGCTAATGTTTACAGAATTGTTGAGACACAATGGGGCCTTGGAGAAGGCCTTGCCAAAACGGGCTCTATGGCCGACAAAGCTGTAAGAATTAGATCGGAAGCCTGATGAGTATGTCCATTGACAGGTATTGTTCAGTTTCGGATTTACAACACAGAAGGAAAACTACATGCAGAGATTCCCTTTCACCTGAAGAAGAGCTATGGCGCTGTGTGTAAATCATCTTTGCTTTTGACACATCTTGGCCCGGATTGCTGACTGTGATGCAGGAGCGAATGATCTATCATCGGTAAGCACTATAGCATCAACTCCCTTCTCCACCAAGCTGACTTCAAAGGGTCGATTTACATGATGCGCTGAAATCTGCAGCGACGCAGAGCGAAGGAAACGTAACTCCTGTTACGATTCGAACGGGCTCCGTAGTTCGGGAAAGCGACCCAGAAACCGGAACCGTGAAACTCGATTCCGGAGAAGTGCTTTCTGCAGACCTCATAATTGGAGCTGACGGAATGTAAGTCATGTTCATCACAAACCTGGACGGCCATATTCTCTAATCCTTTCGTAGTAAGAGCGTTCTTCGACAATTCATCATTGGAAAGGAAGCTCCTGCAATACCAACTGGACTTTCGGGTAAGCAAACTACCCGATTTCAGAAGTTTCAGGGCAAACATCGAGCTGACAATCGATTAATTCCAACAGCATACCGACTCGTGATTAACAGCTCCGAGTTGGAGCAAGATGAAGACTTCACATCCGTGATAGATCCGAGGCAATCGTTTACTACGATGATCATGGGATATGATCGACGGATCATCATGGGCCCCGCGAGAAACGGATCGATCTACAGCATTGTAGCTTTAGTACCAGATGGTAAGCAGCGTATCTCTCAAGCTGAAGTAGAGCTGTGACTGACTCAATATTACAGACCAAATGCAGGAAAATGCCGAAGGGAAGTCGTGGACCACCAAGGGTAGTCCTGATAAACTCAGGGAAACATTTGACGTGTTTCCAAAGTGGGCCAAGGCTGTTTTCAAGAACTGCACCGAAGTCGGATTGTGGCAGCTACGCGACCTAGTAAGGCCAGAACCCAATTGCGTCATTCGGGCTAAGAGTTCTGACCCTTTCTAAGGACCCATTGAATGCTTGGTACCGCGAGCGTGCAATTATAATCGGCGATGCTGCTCACCCGATGCTACCAACTCAAGGGCAGGGGGCCAGCCAGGCTATCGAGGATGCAGAGGCTCTAGGAGCCATCTTTTCAGACATCGAGGGAAAGCCGACCAGATCGCAGATAACAGAGAAACTGAAGGTGAGAAGCCTACCGGGCATCCATCTTGACATGGAGGCTCATTGGCTAACATTCCAACAGATAGTATTCGACTGTCGGTACGAGAGGGCCACGGTCATCCAAGGCTACAGCAGAGCATCCGGAAAGCCTGCGACAGACAAGGGCAACAACAAGATCACGATGTTAGTAGTAAGAATGAAGCATGTGATTCTGTCATTAATAATTACAGGAACCCGGCCGAATTCATGGACTACAATTGTACCTATAATGGCGCAAAAGACTGGATTGAGCGACAAGCCAGGGCGAAAATATTGGCTAAAGTTGAAGAGTCGAAGGAAACAGCGCCAATCTCCATTGCGACGAAACAGATGGCTGCGATTTCTCTGGGCAGTGAATGAAGGATGTTGATGGGTACTTCAAAGAAGCAGCATTGGATGAGAGACAAGGATGGTATGAATATTGGATATTGTTACTCTACTGTGATTGGGCATGTCGGACACATGAGATCGCAGTCATAATGTCGTTCAAAATCTGCCCAATTGCAGCATCAACCTGTACATACCTCTGAGTCATTCCCGACGTTGCAATTGAGCCCGTCGCTACCCCTCAGCCACAATTGTGCAAATTGAGGATGAAGCTTTTTGTACCTTTTCCCTGGCCATGCCAGTCTCACTCGGGGTGGTCGTAGTTTACATTCGCCCCAGTGGTTCTGTGTGTACCGCAGTGAAGAATGCCCCTCCCTTATACGAGCACCTTAAACTTCGACGTTTCCAACGTACCCATCGGAGCCCGAATGTTCCGTTACGCGATGATGTGAAGTGAATCATACAAGGCCGTAGGGATGAGTCAGACGCGGCCCGAGGCTTAGTTTCAAGGCAAGTGAAGGCGAAGAAAAGTGGATTGGACCACGGCACTCCAGCAAAGCCTACAATCCCAGTCGGGGCAGATCGTAAATGTCTATGGGGAAAATTATCAGCACTACCGATGCGGCGATGGACTCATGGCATCTACGGCAGTGTTACACAGGGTAAGATGTCATAGCGTCAGATTTTTGGTGCGCAGCACGGTTATCCCCGGGAAACCTAAAGCAATAATTAGACTACGATGAAATATTTTTTATTTCTCAATTACTTACTTAAGACGGAGAGTGAGTTGCGAATTTTTTAGTCGAAGTTTCACTTTCATCTTCATCGACTCCTTCACGATGCTCCACCCTTCGCAAGCCTCGCAGGCTCTGCACTACGGCTGCGCCCTGAGCGCCGTGCTCATCGGCCTTTGGGCTTCAGTTCAGTCAGGCCAACCAAAGAGGAAACACACACCAACAAAAGATTACAAACATCACCGATCAAAACTCAAAAAAATTGCGAAACTCATCGTCATTATCACATACGTCTCTGAAGCAGCTGCTGCAGCTCTCCAACCCGACGCGTTCAACAAGGAGCAAGCTCACATTGTTCATGTCCTGCTATCAACTTTCGCTTGGATAGCGCTGTGTTTCAATGGGAATGGGCCAAGTCTTTTGCTCAGCGCCTGCACTGCGACCCTTTTGCTCGAGATTCCTTTGCTTGTTCTCAATGTTCGTGGACAATCACTTTCTACCGTCGACATTGTTTGTCTTAGTTCCCAAGGAGTAAGACTCATTGTCATCTTTGGTTTAGTTCTAGTTGCTATGGCCAGGACTACAACTCAGGGGGGTAGCGGCGGAGCCTGCTCCGAAGAAAGTCAACCTTTCCTTGGATCGCATGCACAAGAGGGGCCCGCCGACTATGGAACCGAACGCTTTAGGGATGACACCGACACCGAGATCGCCAGTGATGAGTCCGAAGACGAGGATACAGACGACGACGATAGCGCCAGCATCAAGCGTCGAAGAGCCAAGAGACTAGAAGAGACGGGCGGATGGCTGGGATATCTGAAAGACTTTAAAATCTTTGTGCCGCTTCTAATCCCTAGAAACGACAGAAAAGTTCAGCTTTCAATTCTTCTCTGCCTTCTATGCATAGCGGGTGGAAGAGCAATGATCATCCTGATCCCCCGTCAACTCGGTATCGTGACCGACAAAATCCTGGCAAAAGAAGCACCATACGGTGCACTGGCCATTTGGCTGCTTCTAAGTCTCATCAGCGGCGAGTCGGGGTTGGGTTTGATTGAAGCGCTCGCGAAAATTCCCATCAAGCAGTTTTCATACAGACAAATCACCAATGCCGCCTTCAGTCACGTCATGAACCTTCCCATGGAGTTTCACGCCGAGAGGGACTCTGCAGAAGTCATGAAGGCCATTGAGCAGGGCGAAGCTCTTAGCAACCTGCTTGAAACCGCCGTCATTGACATACTGCCGACCGTAGCGGACATGTTCATCGCACTCTGGTTCCTGTACTGGAAGTTCAACGCCTACGTCTCTCTAGCCATGCTTGTGGCTTCTGTAGCTTTCACGACCTTGGAGGTCGTTACTTCAAACATGAACCTTGCGAATCGGAGGGCCTCGAGCAAAGCTGAAAGAGAGGAAGCGCGGATCATGCATCAGGCTGTTCAAGGATGGCAGACCGTCACGTATTTCAACATGTTCAACTTCGAGAAGCGCCGCTTCGGCCAGGCTGTGGACTCGCAACTCGCCGCCAGCCGTAGATACGGGATTGGTGATGCCTTCATTCAGGCTCTCCTGGAGGCAACCGTGCCAGCCACATTTTTCGTGCTGGCATGTCTGGTTCTGTATGAGATCACTCACGGTAGAGCCTCCCCTGGAGACTTTGTGTTGCTGTTAACATACTGGGAGTATTTGGTCTGGCCTCTCAAGTTCCTCTCGCACAATTACCGGTACTTGATGTCAGACTTGGTGGATGCCGAACGTCTCCTCAACCTCCTACAGACCAAGTCAACCATCGTTGAGAAGGAAAATGCTAGGAACCTCACACCCGTCAAAGGCCACGTCGCATTTGAAAACGTCGGGTTCGCCTACGATCCGAGGAGACAGACAATTCAACAGCTGGAGGTGTCAGCAGCACCAGGGAAGACCATTGCCTTGGTCGGAGAGACGGGTGCTGGGAAGTCATCAATCATGAAATTGCTACTGCGGTTTTACGACGTTACAAGCGGTCGCATCACCATTGACGGCCAAGACATTCGCGACGTCACCCTCACCTCGCTTCGCGAAGCCCTTGGGGTTGTTCCACAGGACCCCCTGCTGTTCAACACCTCAGTCATGGAAAACTTGCGTTACGCACGGCCATCTGCGACAGACGAAGAGGTTTTCGAGGCATGTCGGGCTGCTGCGATCCACGACCGCATCCTGAGTTTTGCTGACGGCTACGAGAGCAAAGTTGGCGAGCAGGGGGTCAAGCTCTCAGGGGGTGAAATTCAGAGACTTGCCATCGCACGGGTATTTTTGAAGGACCCGCCTATCCTGATTCTTGACGAGGCGACGAGTGCGGTCGATACGATGACTGAAGCAAATATTCAGCATGCGTTGGAGACTTTGAAGAGTGGCAGGACAACGTTTGTCATTGCGCATAGACTCTCCACGGTTGTCAACTCGGACAGGATTGTGGTCATTCACGAGGGTAGAGTGGTTGAAAGTGGAACTCATGAAGAGTTGTTGGCGCAAGGGAATAGATACAAGGATTTGTGGACGAGACAAGTGGGTGGTGCATCAGAGAAGAACAGGATATGAAAAGGTTTGTGTTCAAGTTTCCTTCTTTTCTGATTTTGATAAGCTTTTTATTGTTTCCAGCCATTCTTTACTTGGGATCTGGGCCATCGGTGGCGGCTTTGCTGTTGCCAAATTATACATTGCTCGGGATTGTAGAAACTCGGAAAGTAGGGTACATTTCCAGGTTAAGCTTGATAATTAGTATCTTCACATTTGGCTCTCTAAATGACTACAACAGCAGTGGCCTTCGGGGCGCGCAACCATGTACCGGTCCCAGGTTTAAGTGAATTGGGGCGCAACTCCCCCACTAGCCCTTAAGTGGCGTGGATCGATCGGACGGTTGGAGAGACTTACGCTTAGATCGACAGGGACCACTGATGCCGTCATCAAGAGAGATGGCTTCAGTGTCGGACAACAACATTTGTAGATTTGTCCGTGACAACTCATTAATGAGACATGTTGGAGACCTGACATAGCATGACAAGATCATCAAACTGGCAACTTTTCCCAGTCAAATCACGCGGATGCGCGTAGGGGCCTGTCTCGCACGATCATACCTTCTCCTGAGACCCACCTTAACCAGAACAAGTTTCAACACCAGTTCCATAAACAGAGGAACACTGTTAATCCCAACAACAATGCGCACGCGATCAACTAATACCCAGACGGCAAATCCCAGCTCTACACCGACCAAAAGATCGCACAATGACTCTGATTACACATCTTTCGACGAGCTGAAAGCCAATATCAAGCGCAAAACGCGACGGAAATCTTCATCAATCACAAAGAAAGCCACCGATAAGAGAGCGCCCAAGTCCATGAAGAGGAAGAACGAGAACGGGCTACTTGACTTCAAGACAAAACCTACTGACGACAAACTCGTTGATTCACCGCCTTCGGCCAAAAAGTTCTCTGAAAAGAGGTTTGCCGCCTGGTCCCAACATGCCCAATCATCTCCATACCCCGACTTCCTCCGGCCAACCCATGACGAATGTCGGGTCGCTTATAATATCCTGGAAGGACTCCATGGAGATGTGATTCGGGAAGTCTTTGCAGATCCAGATGCCCCAGCCCAGGAGTATCCATATGTGATGGATGCTTTGGTGGTAGCTGCCCTCAGCCAGGCGACTACTTGGAACAATGCCAAGCGTGCCATGAAGAACATGAAGGGTGTGTACGGGTCCCCATCCAACTACGAGGCAATTGTGGAAGGCGGTATGGAGAAGTTGGTGGATGCGCTGCGACCCGGCGGGATGCAGAACAAGAAAGCCAAGATTCTCATGCAGCTGTTGGACGATGTAAAGACTCGGCATGGCAAGTGGGATCTTCAGCACCTCTTCAACGCTACCGATGAAGAAGTTGTCGAGGAAGTGGTCAGCTACTGGGGCCTCGGGACAAAGTGCGCGTTTTGTCTGATGAGCATCTGTCTAAAGCGGGATGCCTTTGCTGTGGACACCCACATTTACCGCATCACGGGTCTCTGGGGTTGGCGACCACGTGATGCGTCAAGGGAGCTGGCGCAGGCCCATCTAGATGCTCGGATACCCAACGAGCTGAAGTTTGGGTTACACTATCAATTCATTGTCCACGGCCAGAAGTGCTCTGTCTGTCGAGGCAACGGAGATGGCAGAGCCGTGTGTGAGTACCGAGTGCTACTGCAACAGCGTAGAGATTCCAAGGAGGATATGGCAAATTTGTAGATACTAGATAGTAGGCTAACATTGCATCCCCTCACTCACATCTTTAACTCCGTTCAACATCGGCGTATCTACGTCGTACTGTCACAATTGACTACTCGTAACTCGGGAGATCAACACGGAAGGATCAGATAAGAGGCGGCTCAGACGGAATGTAACCACCCTTTGCCAAATGAGACGAGTTCACTACCACCACTCTACCTGAATCTGGACGAAAATCCTTCCGCTGTTACACCACATACATTGATGACTCGGAAACCCAAGACGGACTTCGGGCCAGGTCAGCAATCCGCGTAACCCCCAGCGGGAAAAAGCAACTCGGTCAGACATTCCCATTCAAAAGACAGGCAAAGACTGGATGGAAAAGGGGCCGCCCCACATAATTGTCCTATAGCACTGTGAGGGCCGTGAATGGCGTCGACGCTTGGCCCGGCGCCAAAATTGCACTTTGACCGCGCTCCAACTGGCCCGAAACGGACATCTGTGGACCATTTATGGCCGCGTTCAAGGGGGTCCACATCGGTCAATTTCGCCTCAAGCCCGATTATATGAGGCCGGGTCCGATCCGGAAGTTTTTCGCACTGTGACGGCGTGCATACTCCCTAGTCTATGACGGAAAGCTGCCGAGAAATGTGAGAGCCCCTTGTGTTGGTGAACATTATGACGCACCGTGCCAACGCTGGGACCTGATACGGGGAAGAGGAACAGAACAGAGATGGGCATAGCAGAGGCAGATAGAGTCGATCTTAGTTGAGTAGAGACAGATAGCGCGAGAACAAAATTCGCTACTTAAAGATGAAAAGGATCTTACCTTCATGTCCTGTCTCTTTACACTCTCAAAGCATCTTCTTCTCTCATCTCCATCAGCAATCATCACTTACATCCCAGCCGACAAGTCTCATCATGAGCTCTTCCTCAGCCCTCCGCCAAATTGGCATCTACCGGAACCTTCCAACCTTTGACGAGTCCATCGAAGGTCTCACTGCCATCATTACCGGTGCCAATGGTATCTCCGGCTTCAACACAATGCGGGCTCTCTTGGATAGACCTAAGCGGTGGAAGACCATCTTCTGTCTCTCTCGGCGTCCTCCCCCGGAAGAGATGATGAACCTCTTGTCTAGCGACGCTCGTTCCAGAATCGAAATTGTCACTTGCGACTTTCTCGATGAGCCTGCTTCAATCGCCAAAAGCATGAAAGAAGCTGGCGTGCGAGCTGATCACGTCTTCTACTACTCCTACATCCATAAGCTCTGGACTGATGTTGATGGTCTTGTGGAAAGCAACGTTGCCCTCCTGAAGAACTTCCTCGAGGCGTTGGAGTTGGCGGACATCAAGCCCACTCGCTTCATTCTCCAGACCGGCGGCAAGAGCCATGGTGTGCACATTGGTCGCGGACGCACCCCTCTCCTCGAGTCTGACCCCCAGCCAAGACACCTGCAGCCCAACTTCTACTACCCCCAAGAGGATTTGCTCAGAGCCTTTTGCGAAAAATATGGCACAGCATGGAACATCATCATGCCCTGCGCTATCATCGGAAGCTCTTCTCAGGCGGGAATGAACATGTTCTACCTGTTCGGCATCTACGCTGCGGTGCAAGCACGCAAGGGCGAGCCTCTCATTTTCGGGGGAGACTGGGAGGCGTGGCAGTATGAGACCTACCATGGCTCGGCACGAATGACTGGTTACTTGACCGAGTGGGCAGCCCTGAACAAGGACTGCGCCAACGAGAACTTCAACGCCCAGGATGGAGGCCCGCTGGTGTGGGAGCGTTTCTTCCCCGAGCTGGCCCGCTGGTTTGGTGTTGAGAAGGTGGTGCCCCCGCCGGACGACGAGTCAGGCCTTGAGACGAAGACCTTTGGAAAGTCGGGGAAGAAGGCGCCTCTCGGCTACGGTCCCCCTTTCTCTTCCAAGATGCGTTTCACTCTCGCTGACTGGGCCAAGGAGGAGGAGAATGCCGCTGCTTGGCGTGAGATCATGAAGGAGTCTGGAGGCAAGATCACGAATGATCCATTCGCGGACCCGGAGGCTTTCTCGATGTCTGAGTATGCGTACCTTCGGGCTGGGAGCCCTTGTATTAACAAGGCAAAACGGCTTGGATGGACTGGATTCGTTGACACCACGGAGAGTCTGTTTGAGACGTTCCAAGAGTTAGGAGAACTTGGACTCTTGCCGCCGATGAAGGTTGACTCCGCTCGTCCTATGTGTTAAGAGTCAAAGCCTGGTAGAAGAAGGTTAACTCTAGAGATAGAATTGAGAAGAACCACATGAAGGGTACGTCTGACGAAGAACAATCTAATGATCGCCCGGGCTTCATGAAGGCTTTCAATGTAACTTTGTTCTATCGCTCACTCACTAGAGACATTATTTGATGGTTGTGAGGAGCAATTTTATTAATGAAGGCATGATGTGCACTTGCTGTGACCTAGACATAGTTGACCCTATAGTCCTAAATAAAACACCCAAAAAAGAAGACCGCATATTCAAATAGCGTATACCTCGAATATGCTAATCAGAAATCCAAGTGAAGCCGAGACCAATGAAAATAAACACTCCAAGGGCCCGAAGGTAAATGTCTTGCAACAGACCATCCTTATGAGAAGATATCAGTAGCTATCTAAGGGCCGCTGTGCATGCTCCAGGTCAAAGGGAACCTTGGTCTCATTTGAGCAACCATTCACAAACGCCTTTCCGGCAAATCGGTCCTGGAAGAACGCAAGCCACTCAGGCGTTGCTGCCGTTAAGACAGCAGAGTGGTCTAAGCCAGGGTAGATGCTCATATGAACAGTATTCCCATAGGCGCAGGACTCGTCGAACGAGGCAGCACCGGACTCTTCTGAAACGATGGTATCGTCTTCACCCAGAACCAAAAGCAGCGGCTTTGAGGCGCGGTCACCTTGAGCCGGAGCGTTCAAATCTTGGAAATCTTTGAGGTGCGTATCGGATGCGGCGGTGCGATTGGAGAGAGCGTCGAGGCGGAGGTCAACTGTGAGACCCGAGATGGCGTTGTCGCATAGCTGTCCGACCTTTGCGAGCTCAATTCTGTTCTTTAGCTTGGCTGAAATAACGGGAGCGTCGTAATCCGGAAACGTTGCCTTGATGCCAAGTACCGCAGATGGAATGACGCCCAGAGCAAGGAAGTCGTGGTCGTCTCCTCCGGTCTGAGTAAGATTGCGGAGCGAGTCGATGGCAACCAGCGCGTCGTAGATCTTGGTAACAGGTGCTACAGCAACACCTCCAAGATATCCACTGGTCGAATCTTGGACGAGCTTGTGCTCTGACAGCTTCCACACTGCCCCGCCGCCCTGAGAGTGGCCGATGGAAGCCCAGTCGTGTGAGAGAATGTCTGGAAAAGCAGTGCGAGCAGCTACAACCGACCAATACGTATCATTGGCATTGGCTGCACTGGCGACATACTTGTGAGCGGTGTAGTTATTTCCTAGGCCGGCATAGTCGGTGGCAACAACGGCGTATCCTGCAATCAGGAGCGGTGACCAGCTTTGGTAATCGAACAAGCTGGGTGACGTTGAAGGAGCGCAGCCGCGGAAGACTCCGCTGGTTCCGTGTGCGTAGGCGATCAGGTTGAAGGGCTGCTGTGTCCTAGCAAACGGGAAGGCGACAAAGCCAGTGACGGGCACAGGGGAGCCATCGATGTCGGCGCTGGTGTATTGGATCTTGTAGACGGCAAGACCAGCGGGCACGGTGATGTTGGTAGGAATTACAGGCTGGATCTTGAGGACGTCGCCGGGCTTAGAGCCTGTGAAGTTGGCAGCGGTTTCGTAAAAGTCAAAGTCGAAGTTGGTTCCAAAGATCTCTAGATCTCCCGCATTGTGCCTCTTGGCAAGCTTCTCCGCAACCATATCTCTGAGCCACTTCAGGCGTGATATTGAAACTGCTTGCTTGGCCAACATTGGCTGCAAGAGGTTGCAAAACCACTTGTCCAAATATCAACGTAAAAGGAATCAGCAGCATCATTGAGAGAGCAATGAAATAGAAGTCGTGGGAGAAGTAAAGTCGTTGCAGTCTGGTGGGTAGGTCCCAATCTGGCCTTCAAACAACTTCCTTTTCATTGAGTTTGTGCTCGATTTTGTAACCCAAGCGGCACCCGCGCACTCCTAGAGCGGATACTCGTGTTGTAGCTGTAAGTCTATGAGTGGTAAATGAGAGTAGCAATCGCAAATCATGAATGCCTTGATTAGGTTATTCTAATTTCCAGGTGGCACTGGGGTGCATGAACATGCTAGAATACATTCCCTCATTGCCACGCTTCTTGCAGGGACTTGAGGTTGAAGACAGTCTCCTCGCAAAAATATTTGGTCTGTGTGTCGTCATTAATGGCGATATACGCGTATTCTACGTTCTCGTTGACCCCAGGAGTTATTGGCTTGCCCGGGTGGCCAACGAATCAGCTCCGACTTGATGATTTAAACGCTAAGATTAGGCGCACGCGAGCTATGACCGCCGCGAGGTTTTCACCGTAAGGGGAAGCATCGGCCGGCCACAAGACGTATGGGACTTGCGTAACGTCTGGACTATCACACATTGCTAATGGTAGGTAAGGTAAGGTTGTTCGAAGAAGTATTCGGCTTTTGGCTCCTTGGACCCACCCTCGGTGGCCGCGGGTCTCACGGGAAGCGTTGGCAGTTCAGCAAAGTCGTTGTTTCGTTAATATAGCTACGATTCTCTGTGCTCATATGTTTCAAACCATTTCTTCGCTTTGCGATGTAGAATAAACTGAATCACCTATTCAAACCCATAGCGAAATGAAAGATAGAAAGACTTGATTGGTTAGGTACATACAAACACAGAATCAGATTTCACTAGTCTGTCGAGGACAGAAGTTCCATGTCTGCTATCACAGGTCGATGATCTGAGTAATAAACACCATCGTCAAAGCTGTTTGACACAACAGCAAAGTTACAAAACCGGATGTACTCGGGGTTCAGCACAAAGAGATAATCAATCGTCGTCGGTTCTGCCTCACCAAAGGTCGTGTAGGTGATCTTATTCCCATGGTGCTTATAAGCCGGGACCAAGTCCGGTATATCTCTCATGCCCCCGGGCTGGGCTGTCATAATTTGATGCGGCTCGTCCTTCGGCCCGCTATTGAAGTCCCCGCCTAAGAAGACTGGCACATCCTTTCCACAATTTTCTGATGCATCCTTGCGCCAGTCTTCAGCAATCTTAAGAAGCAATTTAGCACTCTCCCGCCTGGCTTCTTGGCTCTTGTGATCGAGGTGCGTGCTCATCACAACGATCCTAACGTCGGAGGTCTTGTGCTTGAACAGGCCAACCGTGACAATGCGATTGATGGTTGCGCCCCATGCGTTCGAAGGTTTCTCCGGTGTGGGACTGAGCCAGTACGTCTCGCTCTGCTCTGCAGTCCAGTGATCAATCCGGTAAAACACCGGCGAAAACTCCCCGTCGGACACCCCATCAGCACGACCACGACCGATGCTGGCCCATCGTGGGCCCAATTCGGCTTCTAAGTCGTGAAGTTGTTGGTTCTGCGCTTCTTGAATGCATATGAAGGCATTTGGGAGGCCGGCAGTATGGAATCTCAGCTGAGATGTCAACTTTGGGCAGCGGGCTTCCCAGGGCTGCTCATTTGGCAACAGCTTCTTCTTGATGGCGTAGCGGATATTAAGTGTGATCAAGCGAACAGGCATCGGTTCAGTGGCAACATTGTCGGGATGCATGGCGCCGTATAAGTCCTCAACCCTCAAAAGTACGTGTTCAAAAGGGCGTTCGATGGGTATAGTGAGAGGATGAAGTTTGATGTAAAAGGATGTTCTATCGACACGAAAAACCTAACTTTGATGTATTCTTATAGATACCACGGACATTATCGTTGACACACCTACTTGGAAGCAAATGGTGTATGCCATTTCAGCAGAATTCTTACGGTTGTGGAGGCCCGACTAGCCGATGACTTGAGAGTCGAGAACTGTCTTAGTTAGACGTATCAGGCGGTTTCTATCCACCCAGCGCGGTTAAGGTCCGGCTCAACTAGTCATGCGCTTACAAAGACCCTTCGTGTTCGGACTATGCCAAGACAAGGCCTACTTCCAACTCGTTTGGCACTGATGCAAGATACATGTGAGTACGTTGAAGCTTAGAAATACAAAACTTTTAAAAATGGGTTTAAAGGGGCGTCATCCGCAATCTGGCCACTGCCTTGCACATATGAGTTTCTGAAGTGCAGATACACATGTAAGCTTAAACCTTGGTGGGTCTTGGTGACGGGAGGTTTGTTATGCCGTGAAGGTCTCAGCTATATACGCAGTTCCTATTAGATCGGACGCTGAATAGTGTCAATACATCAAACGCGATTCAAGGCAGATTGGATGGAATTTCATTCTGGCAAGACCGATGTTCAATGCATTGGTGTCAAAAAGAAGCGGACTTTGAGAAAAGGAGGACAGACCATCGGGACATGTACCAATGCCATTAAGCACCTTGCGGCATGTGATACGCAGAGTTTCTGGATCAGGCTGACCGAACATGAATTTCTTTTCCAGGTGAAAGTAGCTATAGAGTAAAAGACTAAGAAACAATACAAATTCCCTGGGTATCTACCGCTCAATTCCTTCCATAATTCCCACGCCCAACACGCACTAGACTGATGTGTAGTCAGACTGACTAATTACGCAAATTCGTATGCCAAATAACTCGAACTTTGTCTCATTCCCTGAAAGACTCAAATCTTGCCCAAAACTCTCTTGACCAACGACTTCTTTCTCGGCCTAGGAGGAGGCTGGTTGATCGACCTTGTCTGCCGAAGAACGCCGAGCAAGGTGGCAATCGCCAATGCCTCCGCCTCTCCATTAAGATCCTCCGAAAGTAGCAAAATGCCCTCGCTATAGTCGTTAGGCAGAGCGAAACCGATGCCGACGTGGTGGTAAATGGCATGAATCGCTGGCTCTCCGCCGCTCAACTCTGCTTCAGTGTCGACCAGAGTGTATCGCAGAGGCCCATCTTCTGTCGGGCGCGCTTGCCATTCCAGATTCGAGGGGACGGTGATGCTTCCGTCTCGCGATGTCTGTGAAATTGTGAACCATGGGTGTCGCACGGGGTTTGCGGCTGCATGCATCTTGGTGTCCGGGACAGGGAATGAGCTGGTCACTGCTAGTTGCAAGTCTTGCTCCATGCTGTGTGGTGCAACGCGAAAGTTGCCGTTATCATCAGCAGGTAGGTGCCTTGCGAAAATGTCAGTGACTACTGTCTCGTTAGGACGGCGTTCCACAAAAACGTACAAACTGACGATCTCGCCGTTGTGGCTTGGCACTCTCCTCTCCACTGTAGCAGCAAAACCATCAAGGCCCTTCTGAAAGTTGACCAGATAACGAACTTGCGCATCGGTTCCATCTCCCAACGGTCGTTTCATCATGGCCAGACCAAGCTTATACTTGCTGCTGCCGATAGGCTCCTGCTTGACAGCCTTATCGTAGTTTTCATTGTAATCGTAGAGAGGTAAATGAGTAGTGATGTCTTTGTGGTTCGGGACGTAGACGACGCGGGTGAGATGGGCTGGTGTGGGTGCAAGGTGACGGCCCAGCCTCTGATCGAGGGCACAGTCAAAAACTTCCGCCAGCTGAACGTGGTGATAGTTTCCGTATGCTGGAAGGGCTGCCATATTGGTGATGATAGACGCAGACAAAAGCGAAGTCGATGCCATGGGGTCGGGCGTCGTCTTATCGAGACGGATTGGTGGCTAGGGAGAGGACAAAGCTTAGCTGGACGACTCTCCGATCGGGGTGACCCAATAAGGGATGGTGTCGTTGGGATCAATGATGCGACGATAACGGCTGGGAGTCAAGCATCACTCGGGAAATTTTATGTTAGCGACAGAGACAACGGACAATCAGATTAAGTACTGTCGCTTCAGCGTACGGTCAGGATGCGCTACGCCCTCAGAGAAACCCACTGGCAGTCGATAGAAGGTATCATCAACACAGCAGCGACCCGACGGAAAGGCATGAAAGGCGGTGTTTTCCCACTGGGGACAGATTCATCTGTTCCAGTTCTAAGCTGAGGGGAAAGATTGTCACGGCATGTGACGTAGAAATGCAGCTAACCCCGACAGCGTAGCATGATTGTCTCACTAGGTGAGAGCTAGAAAGTGTTAGCCGAGCTCCCGAGATACCTAGTCTCAACGCCAATGGGGGGTGTGATCGTCGTATCTGACGTGTCGGCATATCAGACCAGCCAGCCACCAGTTAGTAATACGGCATGATTTGTCAAGGGAATCAATTTTCCGTCTAGAGTCACACAAACACCAAAAATCTTGGAGCTGGTAGCATCGTGACTTTCCCGAAGATCAACCGGCTTCGGGGATCCGAACGGGGCAAGGCCGGTTGATCGGGTGTTGACCCGGCCAGCGGAAAACTCCGCCGCCTCCGCATTAACTCCACTTGTTTGTTGTTTTGCAGACGCAAAATAGGCTGCCCTGGATCCTGCCATAGGAGCATTGAAAGACTTTTGCTGCCAACTGAATGACCTGATTACTCAATGAAAACTGGCGGCAAATGTATTCCGTCTCAACTTTTCATCTCATTTCAGCCATGACATAATTCCTTTAGGGCCAAAGAGCATGCGAAGCTTGGGACCGCAGCAAAGTGACATCCCCAGCTTGCCGGTGGGTTCTATTACCTCTTTCGGGATCGGTCGCAACTATGTTTTTTGTTCTACACAGGGATTCCCCACTCTCTTTCGATCTTGACTTGGAAAACATTGCCTGCTTGGCTTTTCTTTACAGCACAATGCAGAGCCCTCGCTGAAGGCAAAGGCATATCTTGGCGGATTGCCTCTCTGGGTACTTGCTGTGTTTTGAGGCTTTTGACATGGAATTAGCCTCACTTCAGACGGAAATCAATTCCGCTCTTCGCTGACAAGGAGCGTGCCATGAATGATTTTGCCCATGTTGACCAAGAGCAGCATGACGCGACGAGCACCTTTGCTGGCCGGTTTTCTCATCACTGCTACTTGTATTGAGGAGCAATGAAGGCGAAATCTTTGCTTTCTTTAATGAGCTCAACAGTTCGAAACGAAAGTCAGAGCAACAGCCTCCATGCTTTCTTTCTTGTCTCTGCTAACGGGTGTAGAAAGCAAAGATGCTGGTCTCAAAATTCTGTAAGTAAAGTCATTCTAAGTCTTCCGATTAGATCCAGGTTACTTGGCTGATTATCCTTCGCTGAATATTAGGATGGATCGAGATTACGTGTTCTTAAGAGGGACAGCGGATGAAGCAAATGAGCAAATTCTTCAAGGAGTTCTTAGCCTTTGTCTACCTTCAACACAGCCTGCAATCGGCGTACGGCTACGTTTAGACGGCTTTTTACGTCGCAGGTAGGTGGTATATATACCAAATTCGTATTTGTATTCATACACGACATGACGCTGATGATATGTTTTCAGGGACCATGACACAGGATCAAAATCGAGCGAAGGCTCAACCACAGTCCGCGTCTTCGAGTACGAATGGCCTCCCTTCCTCACCGACCATGGCCACACAGAGCTTCACCCAAGTTCCCCTGGTACCACTACTCATAAGTGGCCGTTCGAACTCCCTATACCCGGCGATACACCAGAAACTTTCCAGGGGTGTAGTCGGTGCAGCATTACCTATCAATTGACTGCAACGACGATTCGAACCAATACTTCTTCGGCGACGCCTCAGACATTTAAAACGACACGGATAAACAGGACGCTGCCGAGTTCTGCATTCGAACTGATGGACCCTGTAACGGTCGAAGGCACATGGGGGGAAAAGTTGCGGTATTCCATATCCATCGGCCATCGCGCCATCGCCCTGGGCACAGCTATTCCTCTTGAGATGCGCTTTGCGCCGTTGAAAGCAGGGACAAGAATTTCGCAAGCGAGATGCCAGCTTTTGGAGTCACACAAAGTAATGGCTAGTAGTGCCCAGCCTTCGTCATTCGTTGGCGATAGGGACGTCGCCAAGTGGGAGACGCCAATAAATAACCACGAGAATTTGGAGCAACGCTTTTACAAGACAACACAGAGCCTTCCCCTTCCTACAGAGCCGAAAGACTGTTCTCCGGATATGGAAGCCCGCGATATCAGCATGACTCACCTTCTCTCGATCGAAGTGACCGTTCAGGATTCGGATAATAGTCCTTTTGCACACAAGGTAAGTGCCTGATGGCGCATGAGAATCTCGATTTTTGTTAACAAAGCTCAGTACCGTGCATCGCTGCCTGTCATCCTCTTTGCATCCGCGCAGATTCCGATTGATGCGGATAATAAGTTTATTCGGTCACTGAGTCCGACAATCAACGAAGATGTGGCGTCACTCAGCGGACTGGACGTTCCGCCTGTCTACGGCGCACATTTACAAGACAAGGTTCTCACAAACTTGACGGAATCGCTATCATTATAAGAGTCTTTCAACGAGATATGAATTATAGTCTACCAGCCTTAATCACCGCAATCTACAATTTATGAGTATCGGTTCCGTGACATCGTGGTTGAAGCTGTCTCGATCATTGAATCGTAGCCAATCACGGCATCTTCTCTCGAAAATGCGATGGGAATAGAAGACTGCAAACGGCATACCTTTGAGCTATGCTTTCTCACTTGGAGAGTTGCTATTGTATGGGGCGAGGCACATGTCCAGACAAGTACCCAGGACGTGCCAGGCAGTCGGAAGTCGTGTCCGGTGGGAAGTATTTCCTGATTCGGAAAGTGGTTCCTGACTACAGGTTCAGGACTTTGATCCTTAGTGCTCCATAGTTTCCCGAGCTCGGCATTCGATCCACCTAGGAGACACACGTAACATGCTAGCGCCAGTCTGAACCATGGATTAAGGTAGGTTGTGTTGAGGAGCACAGCTAGACACGTGCCAAAGTATCTGTGAAGTATATGCAACTCGATGGCGACTAGAGGGTAAGGTAGTCTGAGTCACAGCCAAAGCCCCTTGAACAATTAAGATGATCATAACCAAGTAGGGATTCAGGCAGAACATTCATCCTGCCGAAATCTCGTCTACTACAACTACATCTAGGTATACTGATCATGACATGGAGCCTAGGTTCGGCACTGCTAGTTCGCAGAGCACTTGTATGCTGAGCGTGTGACCCTTGCCACGTTATACCCGATAGCCGCACTTCTTTTCTGGGAACTCCGACAGAAGGGACCACCCGTTTCCGACCACATCTGCTGGAAGAGGCTACCAATGCCAGACCACCTCGCTTACTTCTGAAAATTCTATACTCTTTCTTGAATCACGCCCTTTATGTCACACAGCACCTCAGATCCATTTCCATTGCAGCACTTTCGCTTCACACGCTCAGGCATAGACACTCAGGTAAGTTAAGGCTTGCTTCAAAGCTTCCATTTCACCACATGGCGCCAAGTAACCATGTCCAACGCATCGAGTTACGGCAGTTTCCTCTTCTCGCTACAGATGGAGAGCACGGTTCACCATACGGCGAAGCATTTCCGCCCTGTTCACACACTGGGTATCCTGATGGGTCCAGTCACTTGTCAGAAGTCGGCCACTGTGAGCGGCCTGGGTCGTCTTCTCCACCCGACGATGCTGTTGCAGCCTTGCAGACGTGGAACAGCTCACGTTTGAATCTCATTCGAATCGTGGCCGTCTTTTGGAGTCTATTAGTCATGGGAGCAAATGATGCCTCATATGGTGTAAGTTGGCACAAAAAGCAATACATCATCGTAGTCATCGTAACTAACATGGGCTTCATGTCCAATCAGGCAATCATGCCTCATGTAAGCTTTGTCCAAGACTCAAAGTTCTGAAAGCATCTGACAAGACGATCTGAAGCTAGGAAGATACTATGACTTACCGTACTCTTTCACGTCCCTGATCTTCCTTGCGCCTTTCATCGGTCACACTCTCTCAGCCATCCTAAACAACAGTCTACACGAAAGTGTTGGACGAAGAGGCATCGCAATAATTTGCTCCGTCTGCCACCTAGCTTCATACGTCGCCATCTCACTGCACCCACCTTACCCGGCATTGGTTTTCATCTACATGCTGGCTGGCCTGGGTAACGGGATCGGTGACGCCGCTTGGAACTCGTGGGTCGGAGGTCTGGCGGACTCCAGCCATATCATCAGTCTGGTGCATGCTTGCTATGGTGTCGGCGCTGTCCTCGGCCCAATGACAGCAACTGTAATGATCAGCAAGGCTCAGCTTCCATGGCACACATTTTACTACTTCATGGTGAGAGTCAACTTTCCACACCTAAGGCGTTCAAGGCGTTACTGACAGACTCATATCAAGGCTGGTCTAGCTATTGTAGAGCTTGTTCTGGCTCCCTCCGCCTTCTGGTTCGCTACTGGAAGTGCATACCGTGAAGATAATCCCAAGGGCCCAGAGCCGAGAGAGTCGATTGTTCACGAGACATTGTTCAAACTCCCTTCTGCCCGGGTTACTTGGCTGTGCGCAGTATTTGCCCTTGGCTATGTCGGGCTGGAAGTGTCTCTCGGCGGTTGGATTGTCACATTCATGTTGCAGGTTCGGCACGGGGAAGAATTTGCCAGTGGTATGACGGCCACTGGCTTCTGGGCGGGATTGGCCCTGGGTCGAGTTGCCTTGGGTCTAGTGACCCCGCGAGTGGGCGAGAAGCTCGCAGTCATGGTACGTCTAATAACTTAACCTAAGTCATGTCCAGATTTAGCGGAACTAAGTCAACCCGAATCAACTAACCACCTGGAAACTCTGATAGCTATATCTTGGCGCTGCGGTTTGTTTACAGCTCTTGTTCTGGCTTGTTCCCGAATTCTTCGTCTCCGCAATCACCGTGTCGCTCCAGGGGTTCTTCCTCGGACCCCTGTTCCCCACAATGATGGTTGCCATCACGAAGTTATTACCGAGGCACTTACACGTCAGTGCTATCGGTTTTGCCATTGCTCTTGGAGGTAGTGGCGCGGCTATCCTACCATTTGTCATTGGAGCACAGGCTCAGCGCCATGGTGTGCAAGTCTTGTCTCCAATATTGCTCGGAGCGCTGGCATTCTTGTTGCTCACGTGGTCTTTCCTGCCCAACTTTGGTCGCAAACATGAGTGATTTGCAGTGGAAGGGCGCGAGGTTTCGAAAAGCTTGTTGGAGATGACTCACCTAGGAGCACAAGTCATTTTATAGAGGTCCTAAGGAGAGTTCTTGAAACTCCCGACATCACGAACTTATGAGGTGTAGTATAGTTAAGGTGGTGTATCAACTATTTCGACCAAGAATGCATCTTGCTCTTACATCAATTACACTTGCGTTTAGTATTCTAGCCCTAGAAAGTACTCATTGAAATTAACTTTCTCATCCAAGCGAAAGCACTGAGTCGCACCCCGGGTATGGGTGGCGTGACATTTTGACTTTTCATCTCTCGCATGCGAAATTGTCATCAACACATGTATCACTCGATGACTCGAGCGCTTAGAATCAAATTTTGAAGCCTCTTCGGGGGCCGTATCATTCCCGAATTCCGCTTAGTGAGCTGCTTATTTGATTCGGCGACAAAGCCATATTCAGTGTACATACGCGAAGGCTTCTAGCAGAAACTTCGCCAAAGCCCCACCATAATCACAGAGAGTTCAGTCTAGTTCGTTGATCAATTTCCTACTAATCCTTATACTGGTCAACTAGAAGCAACGAAATGTCTCCTGAGGTGGGCTTTGCCGATACTTCCGCTAAGTACGCCTTCGTATATTGTGCTGGAAGTTGTAGGGAGTTGATATATGTATCAGCTGGTTCTTCGAAGCAAAGGTAAGTAGTAATACTACAAACGCCAAGCGATATCACAACCCCATAACATCAAGTTACCTACACCTCTATACATTCCAAAAAAGGACGGAAATCATCAAACTCAACCAAAGGCAGTCACGATGCATCTCTCGGCCATCACTATCCTGTCAATTGCCCTACTGTCGGGTCAAGCTCTCGCAGTTTGCGGAGAAGGGACCTTCAACCGCAAATACAACGGCTACAAGAGAATTTCAAACTGCAACCTCAACGCAAACAATGTCTATTTTTGCGGCGACTCTGGGACTTCCGTCGTCCACAAGCAAAGCCAGCTTGTTCTCCGCGCCGGAAAGGTTGATTCAACAGTCTTGGTCAATTGTAACGGGTACGGCTTCTTGTACCACTGTTCAGCGGGCGAAGAAGGCCGGTTCAGAGAGCCACAGTGCAAGGGCGCGGTTTGGGAAGTTGAGAACATCAAGGAGACTTAATTTCAATTCGAAGATCACTTGACCTAAGATGAAGTATGGATTGAAGCATGCTCGTGATAGGAAAGGTGCAACTTCGTGTATCAGCGTTATATATGTCTGGTTTGTCACAGGCCAAGGCTTTGTAAAGAGAATGTTTTAGCGGGGCCGAATAGTTTCTTTTCATCAACATCATCTTCCTTCAATGCTTTGAAGACTGGGGCTGCGTTGCGCCGAGGGTGTAGGGGGCCATTGAGACTATTGTTTGATCTTAAATCAAAGTCTTGGACCAAAGGGCTTGAAGATGCTTCAGTCAAACTGACATAGCTATGTTGAGTTGGAGTTTCTTACAACTACGGGCTACCTCAAGCGGGGAAAAACAAACTTGACAGACCTGTCGTCCAATCTGACGAGATGATTGTAATTGCCTGACTCATTGACTCAACGCTATAGGAGTCTGAATGACTTGAATTATGTATAAATGCTGATTTTCCGATGTAGAACATGAAAAGCAGGAAGGCCAGGATTGTGGAGACTTTGCTGTCTTTGACACGAAAGTGACTGGCATTGAGGGTAGGTGTTGAAAGTATAGAATGTCTCATTACATGCAGTGGGAAGAAAACATTGCAAGTTTAAGCTATCGATGAGACGACTTACAATAGTGACCTATGACCTCCCTGTCTTGTAAGGAGTGCAGCTCACGATTGTTTTCAAGGTTGAACTTTCTTAAGGGTGGCGAATGTCTTGTAGTAAGGTTCATATAATTCTTGCACACATACTACCTTAGCGCACCAATTCTCTTCGTACTTAGTCTACTATCCTGCACGACCTTCCATATTGGAGGCTTCTAGCGAAATTCCAAATTGAGCTGCATGCGCTCAATGGCGTTAAAGCTCAATCCTCTTCCAAAGTACATCTCAGTCGCGCATGAGTTGGCAAGGGCGCGCAAGCATGTGCGCCCCTAAGGAACGTAGAGCTAAACCCATCCCCAACATGTTAACTACAGGCCCACAAGATACTCTGTTTCTGACAGGATCATGTAAATGATAGGTTGACCTATCACGTAGCGTACAGGGAAGAGGCAAAGCCCTTTGGCAGTAGAGGAAAAGGGCATAGACACATCGTCGTACGCCCACGCGCTTGGAGCTTACCTCCACAACTTCAGGTACCGTTCATGCTTCTTCTAACTATTGCATAGGATGTATCACAAAGAGGACGAGAAAATGTGCTGCTGAGGATGAGAGTCCTGTTGTGGAACAGAGTCGATGATCTACGGCAGATCAAGCGTGTTAGTGTTGTCGGGACGAGCTTCCGACGAGATAAGCCCTTCCGACTTTTTTTTGGATCCGACATGTCGGGACGCGCGCACCGACACCTGCTACATCCGGAGTCGCCCCTCATTGTCTAAGCACCCGACTTTGGTCACTTGGTCATTCTTATCTCATGGATCTAAACTCAAAGCATTCCGATAACGGGCTTGTGTTAGATTTCGATCTCATCGAGGCCCAATGATGTCTTGATCTTGCGTCGGTGGCGGGCTTGTCTTATCCACCTGCGAAGTGAGGATCCAGTGCAGAGACGGCTCCGCCGTGCTCCGTGATGGAGAAGAGCCGCAAATACCACACGTAAACCTTTAGCCTTCTCCGGGGCGTGCGCAAAGACGCACCATCGGAACGCCGACGGCGGGGGGTGGCTTGCTCGGAGACATACCTCCCACGATGCCATGGCTCGGTCGCGATTCAAAGTTTATGCCGGCCGTAGCCGTTCGTGATCGATAAATAGAAGTACCCAGGCACCCTCCCACCATCTCTAAGTGTGTCAAGTCTCGTCTCAGCCAAACATTGAAGTCTACCTATCTAGCTATCACGATGAACGCAAGACTCGTCGCGTGCAGCCGGGCGCCGATGCCTTTCTGCAGATCTCTACGACTGCAGGGAGCGGCTAGATATGTCAGCACCACGGCGGCCAAGACTCAGACCTTGTCTCCAACAGCGCCACGAACTTTCACACCGACTGCGAAGAAATCACCCTTATCTAGACTTTCAACAAAGGCCTTGGTCCGGTCACTGTTTCTCACACAATTTATGTCAACGCCACTTCTCATGAGGCCGGCACTACCTCTACTGCACTTTATCGCCAATACAAAATTCGCACTTTTCAACCCCGATAAGAACCCATTGTTGAGTCGACTACTCAGATGGACTATCTACGACCACTTTTGCGCTGGAGAGAACATTCCTCAGGTGTCAAAGACAGTTTCTGAAGTAAAGCGAATGGGGTACCAGGGTGTCATTCTCAACTACGCAAAGGAAATCGTTTTGGACAAGAAGGCAGCCGCGGCGGAAGCGAAAGCTGGAGAGTACGCACCAGAGGTCTATCAAATGGTCGACCAATGGAAGAAGGGAAACCTCGAAACTCTCCACATGATGGCGCCGGGCGATTTCCTGGCCGTCAAGTAAGTTGCCCTATAGATGATCCATGATTATTCTCGCTAACAAGATTAGGATTACTGGTGCTGGCCCTATTTCCGTAGACGCATTGAAGGCGAAAGCACCCATCCCCGAAGTTTTGAGCAAGGCTTTGGACGAACTCTGCGAGGAAACCAACAAGCAGGGCTCTCGTCTCTGGATCGATGCCGAGCAACAAGCCCTTCAACCGCAACTGGACGAGTGGACCATCGACCTTATGAGAAAGCACAACCGTCAGAGCAAGCCTTTGATCTACAACACTATCCAGGGATATCTCAAGGGCTCCAAAGCCAACTCCGAGCGTCACATTTCCCTTGCCGCGAAGGAGGGCTGGAGCCTGGGAGTCAAGCTGGTCCGCGGCGCATACATCGAGAACGAAGTTCGATCCCTGATCCACGACACCAAGCAAGATACCGATAACAACTTCGACGACATCGCGGACATGTTCATCAGCCAGAGACTCCCCGAAGACGCCAAGGAGTGCCAGTTCCCCGCCAGCGCGCTCTTCCTCGCCACCCACAACGCCGCTAGCTCCGCGACCGCGATCTCTACCCACCGCCGCAGAATCCTGGACGGCCAGGCCACGACTGAGCTTGAGTGCGGCCAGCTGTTTGGTATGGCGGACGAGTTGAGCTGTGAGTTGCTGGACAACTACGACACGTGTGTGGCGGACTCTGGGTTGAAGAGAGATGCTATTCCCAAGCCATTTAAGTATCTGCCGTGGGGTTCGGTCTCAGAGTGCATGGGATACCTGCACCGACGGGCGGTCGAGAACAAGGGGGCTGTCGCGGAGAGCGCTCATATGCTCGGTTCATTGAAGAGCGAGCTGAGACGCCGGGTGTTTGGTTGAACCGACATGATGTTGTACTTTTGTTTCCAGCGATGCATAATGACTTCATTTAGAGATATCCCAATAATAGACGCTCAAAAAAAAACTGAGAAAACTATAAGACGTTTTACATGCCCAATTCCATGCCTTCGGCCATTTGATGTCTTGCCGAACCACGCACGCTTGCTTCTTTTTCACCATTCTTCCACGGCTCTATTATTACACGTGCATGCCTAACTAGGAGGTTCGATATCTCTCAATAGCCTTGCATGGGCGGAGTATTTGCCCTCTCCCTGTGAGAAGTCATTAGTGATCACGATTAACTCGATGATACCGGGGAAAAACTTACCCATTTGGGGAACGGTGTGAACTCGTAACGTTGGCCTTGAAAATTCAGCGCCCCCTCGAACCTCCAAATTTGCACAAGTCCGAGGTTACTCTGGTACATAATATCTGGGGTGGAAGTAAACCACAAGACGTGAGACATTAGTCTCCTGACCTCACCCATATCTATGCCAAACCGAATTAGGTAAACGAGAATCTCCAGACATGAAGTCAAGTAGTCTTTATCCCGATCGTCGCTACACTTGTATCCATACTTGGTCAGCACCGATCGGACGCTGGTTTTTTGCATTTCTTGAATGTGCTTCACGAATTCCTGATTATCCTCAAACTCTTCGATTCCGCCCTCACAGGTCAGAGTATACTCTGCAATTTCATACAGGATCCAAAGTCGCGGCTCAAACCCTGGATAGAACCACGAGAAACCGCAGTTTCGAATGATTCCAGGCATCGTCTCCAGCCCTCGCAGGAAGTACTCCTCTTCACTCTCGCTCCGGGGGTATTGAGGCAGACAAGTCCAATCGACCCAGATGTGCGACCAACTCTGAGCCCCAAGCTCTCTCTGATGAAGACGCAGACAAGAGCCATCAGGATCCGGGTCATTGCTCGTGGTCCAGAAGTGGCTAACGAAGAAACAATCTGATCGCATGACGAAGTTGTTGAGGGCAGGGAGAAGAACATAGTCATCGAGCCGATCTCTGTTCCATTTTGTGAATGCCTGTTGCGAAAGAAAGGCTTCTCTCCTTTGAAAGAACCAAAAGAGTGGTAGATCCCGTGGACTGCGGAGGAAATCGTCTAGGCTTGTGTAGTTCTGCAGAAATCCCATCGCGAAGTCGTGCATCTTCCCACTTGGCGAATTCCATTCATTGATACTGCGCTCGACGAGCGACTTCCACGCATCTTCTGTAACGGTGGGGATCGTCGAGGTAACCTCGGAGGTCATTTTGATAGATCTTGGCGATTGATGGATAAAGGCGGTGGACGTAAAAGAAGCGTTAAGCCTGGCCAGCGTTGAGATGGCTCTACTTATTAGTGTTGCGATATAAGAGCCTCATCTTACCACCCATCAAGGCTGTCGTCAGCGTCAAATGTGACAACACCACCAGCCCCAAAACACTTGATTGGACAACAAATCCCTACCATAGTAAGACTTGTTCGACTGACGTCCAATCAGGTAGGGAAAATCCCAGGTTATAGTTTCCAAGCCATCCATCGATCATTCACACGCCATAAGCATAGCCAAGCTAAAAGATTTTCCACATTTGTAGATGGGGGCCAGTGATGGTCACCGTCTAGGTGGAAGCACATGTAAGGTATGCAGGCAGACACGAGTATAGTTCATATTATTGAAAAATACCCTGTCGTCATGGATGCACGCAACACCGAATGCCCGGAGGCTGAAGATTTAGATAGTTGGTGGGATCTACCTTGGATGTAACGTAATTATCTGTATGACTTTCTTGCAAACAGAAAAGGTCTATTTGGTAATTTATTTGTCCAGTTTCTGCAGAAATTCGCTTTTCGGCTCTTCATCTTGCCATCTTCTACGAGGCACCTCAAAAGTTGACGTGATGCGCCCATACGACTTTCCTCCCAGCTGGCCCACAGGACGCAACTTCTCGAGCTCAATATGACTGAAGTCTGGATCAGCAGCATCCTCCATGACCCAGAATCGTGTTGCCTTGAGCAGAACCATTCCGGCGAGACTCTTTCCATCCTTTGCGTGGTCACTGAACTCTTTGATGTCCACCACTTTTGCTTCTATAGAAAACACCGATTCCAAAACTCTCGATGGCTTCACTGTCGTAGTCTCTCCCTCATGCAGCCCTGAGATATCCCATTCGGAGACTCCATGCGGAGCGTCTATGGAGGTTGCGTTGACAGCCTCAATCATGTCTTCCGATACTGTGTTGATGACGCATTCGCCCGTCTCCTTGAGATTTCGGTACGAGTCTTTGATAGCACCTGATCTTGATGAGAAGCCAACTATGAACATGGGTGGGTCATGGTCAATGACTTGGAAATAGCTAAAAGGCGCAAGGTTCTTCTTGCCATCCTTTGACAAGGTGCTCAGGAACCCAACCGGCCTTGGTGCGATTCCGGAAACGAGAAGACGGTAGTTATTGATCATTGATCGATCAGATGCGTATGGGTCAACCTCCTTGTGGGAAGGGGAGTTGCTTTCCCGGGTGCGGACTCCCTGGCCGTAAGACCACGTCGGATCGGGGGACTTTGTGACCTCGATTGGGGCATTCGAGTGGTCAAAGTCCGGGCGCTTGGATTGTATCTCCTCAAAGTTTTCAAGACGCTCTACAATGGCTCCCTTGGACTCATCTGATTTGGTTGAAGACATTCGGAATGCCCCCCCTTGGGTGGCTGGTATACACGGTGTGAGTTGCGGTCTATTGGGCGGCGGCTTACTTAGCATTTGGTCCATACGCGGCGCTATTGCTAACTTACCTTGTAGGGATCAACCGCCTGAGCAAGGGAAATCTCATTGTCACCCCAATTTCTTCAAAGTCTGCTTCAATTCTAATTGCAGAGATCTTGGTTACAGCCGGAGTTCACTTTGTAACAAACCCCGACATACTTCTCCTCAACGTCGGCAATTCGCCTAGCCATGGCGTGCTGGCAAGAAGCCGTCTTGGATGAGTGATAAGACACAATGACGCTATTGGTTAACAAACAGTCGGAACGCGAATCCGATCTCCACCTTGGCGTGTGTTGGGGAATGTCGGATGCGCGATCCGACATTACGCAACCCGGACACCCCGTAGCAGAACCGGTGACTTTCCAAGCCTCCTTCTCAAACACAACCCAGATGTTCGCCATTGAAGATCTTACGCAACGTTTATCTCACGATGCCAAGGTGCTATTCCGGCGAAGACTCCTGGGGTTTGGATCCTCTGCTCACTGCACGCCGCCAACACTGATAAAGTCAAGGCTCATCATTCGCTCTTTCGGCGGTCCTATCTTCAGCTTGCCTCTCGATGCTAGGTCATACCAGTCCTCATACCAGGCATGATGATCTGCTTCCAAATGAGAGTGCGATGTTCATCTGGATGTGTACTTTGGGATGCAAATACCTATAGGTTCGACCTTCATCTGGTTTACTCCATGGCTTGGACCACCTGCTTGGGCCGGGCTAATGACTTCATCAACGCCTCTTCTCCCTTGCAAGCCTACCCCTCGAAGTCAGAATGGTCTCGTGATCGTTCAACCCCGGATTTCTGGCAGATTCTCCATATCCCTTGACGTTTGGCACACACGTGCCGATCTTCCCCGCGATGAAGCGGGCAGCTTAGCAGATGTTACGTTCTCCGTCATCCATATCGACTCCGGTGCCTCCGGAGACCATGAACGGACGAACATCCGTAGACACTGTGGGGTAAAAGAGCAAGTATTCTAACGATAACAAAAGCGCAAGGACCGCAAAGACCCTCTCTCGGCTATCTACGGCGAGTCATCGACCCCAACACCTGGCTGATAAGCCATCTTGCGGTCTCGCACTAGCGGACAGTCTGCCCCCAAATTTGCCAGTGCCAATAAAGAGGCCAAGCTGCGCACATATAAAACTTGTCGGAACCCTGCTCCGACATATCAAAGGGACCCAAGGTCACTGCGAAGACTACCCAAATTTCAGCAAACGAGAGAGAGAGCGAGAGACATGAAGTTATCGAATTGGCCCCACGAGAACCGTCCGCCATGCCGCAATTAAGCCAGGGACAATACAAAGTGACCAAAAAATGCCAAAAAGCGTGCGTTTCTGTGTGAAAGAGAGGGGGCCCGGGCGTTCCGATGCTCGGAGGAGTTTCGTGTTCTTTGGCTGAAGGCTGACTTGCGACCAAAACAAAAAGTTGCGAAAGATGTCGGGTAATGAAGGTCAAGTGCTCCGGCTCTCAGCCTTGTACACGTTGCGATCGAAAGAAGCATAGATGCATCTTTGCTGTTGAGGATAAGAGGATATCGGTGCCGGAAAGGTGAGTTGTCGGAACGAACCCGTGCGCGTGCAGTGCAGGCAGTTGTCGGGATGAGAAACAACAACAACTGACTGACTCCACTTTCCAGTTACCTCCGGGAGCTTCAGAACCGGAACAGTGAGCATCCAGGCTCAGACCGCTCGACGAGAGCTCTGAGCCGGGGAGACGACGTCGAGGACGTGCAGAGTCGGTATGCGGATGCGGATGCGTATGCGACGCCGCATCATACTTCTCTTGCTCAGGCTGAAGATAATACCGGGCAGTTGGAGACGCCGAGCCATGGTGAGTCGTGCTCGTCGCTTGTCGTTGAGTTTGTGCAATCAGACAAGTCAACTCTTATTGACGCTGTCAACTTCGTAGACAGTCCACAACCGACAGGCCCTCCGGCATCCGAGCCGGATACTGAAGTAGGATATGCCCGTTCGAGTCAGGGGGATCACGGCGACTTTGGCCCAGGGTTTAGGCAAAACCCGCTGGTGGATAACGACTACACCTTTGCCAAGGTCGGGGAACGATACTGTAAGTCATATGCTATTTGTTCTAGTACTGAGTGAGTTGACTTAATACTCACATGTTCACAGGGTACATGGGCCCAACATCGTCATGGTCATTCTGCCGACGAGTCTTAGCCCTCCTGGGTAAACGCCTACCAGAGGCAGCCCCCGACCCATGGCACCTCCCACATGAGGGCGCGTTCAGGATGCAATGGACGCCATTAGGTGCCACCGATACACCCGACGTATCCAACCTCCCGCCGTTAGACTACGCCCTGTTCCTCTTCAACACCGTCAAGTTCTACCTCGGCGCCGTCTTCTATGTGATTGACGAGCCGTCTTTTCTCAAGAACCTCCATGAGCTGTACGAGGACCCCGCAGGCAAGGCTAGCTCGGCAAGGTTGTGGTATGCGCAGTACCTCTTAGTTTTGGCTTTCGGCAAGGCATTCGTTGTTAATAGTACCTCACATACGGCGCCACCGGGGGTACAATACGCTGCAAGGGCCATGTCGTTGCTGCCAGATCTATCAGGGCTCAACCCGGATACGATTCCGGCTATCCAGGCACTTGCTCTGGCTGCATTGTATTTTCAGTGTTTGGATATGAGGTTGGCTGCGTATCAACATGTAAGACCCTGGATCCCTTCCTACTTTGGCTTTCTCATGGCTTGAGGTCGCTAGAAGATAGGTACTAATGAGATTCTAGATCGGACAAGCACTACGAATCGGCATCGTTGAGGGCATCTACAGGCATATGCCCGAAGAAGTTGTCGGGCGTGAGTACTCGAGACGCTGCAACATTGTCTTCTGGGTGGTGTACACCCTAGACAGGGAGTTCTCAGCCTTGATGGGAGCGCCGACTTCAATTCGGGACGAGGATATCACTGTGAAGCTTCCTTCACAGATGGATAACTCCCTTGACGCACTGAATATGACTCTCCATGTACGGCTATCGCGGCTCATGGCTCGTATTCTTACAAGTGAGTTTCTCGGCCACGAAACGACGTAAGAGGAAGCCCCGGGTTACTGACATGATGTAACTAGCTATTTACGGCGTGGGCAAAGAGTTTGATGGCTCATTGGTTCCCAATACCCAGTCTATCCTGAGAGACCTAGCCAGATTATCACGAGATCTTACCGCACTCCTCGACACCCACTTTCAAGGTTCAGTCAGCCGAGCTTCTAGGATGGCATTGCGACTCATCCTATCTTACCACCATGTAAGTGCCCTACTTCCACACACTGTTCCATTGCCATTGCTAATTCTAGAAGTGCGTTGTCCTGACAACTCGACCACTGGTCATGTGCGCCCTCCACATGCATATTGAACACTCTGACAGCCACACGAGATACCCACAAACAGTCTCTCTAACACCACCAGTCGCATCCCTTCTCCAATCCTGCGTTGACTCAGCGCAAACAGTCCTCCGAACCCTCCGCGTGCTAGGCGACGAAGACCTCCTCGAAGCCTTCCTCCCCTTCCAGCTCGAAGACGCCTTCTCCTCCGCATTCCTCCTCTACCTCATCCGGGTCATCAGCCCCTCCCTCCTGCACGACGATTCGTGGTGCGAGAATATCAAATGTGTGCTAGACAAGATGATTTCAAAGGGGAGTCTTGTGGCGCCACTGAGGAAGCTGGAGCTGAGTCAGTTGGAGCACATCATGTCTGCGTTGACGCCTGTGGGCGAGGAGCCGCCGACGCCGCCGCCAACGAGTGCGGCGCATCACCATTCTCAACATCATCATGGGCACGGGCACGAGCATGGGTCATTCTTGGACCAGATGGAGGAGGCTGGGTGGGATATCTTTGATACGAGCGGGATGGGCGGTCTTTCTCCGCAGGCGTTACTGGATTTAGCGGAGAGGTTGGATGTGGAGGACTTGATTCAATCTGTTGATGGGGATGGTGACAGAAGATAATGGCTTACTTACGGTAATCAAAAGTTGAATGACAAACGGGGTAGGACAATGGCAACGAACGGCTCTTTGGTGGTCTATTTTTATGGTATCGTCTCTGTCCCAATCATATGCTACTCGAGGATTGCTCTCGGCATAATGAAAGAAAGACATCATCCCCGGTGGGGCTACATCTCTTGGTGCTTATGCTAGGAGTAGAACTCTGGTACTCTCGGTAACCCTGTCGTCGAGTAGGCTGTGGGCGTAGTTGATTGTTGACCTTAAGTCACTCCACCACCAAGCCAGATCGACCTGACCAACCGACCTAGGAAGGCACCTGCTGTGCTGGTGACAGAAACGGCGTTGGAGGCACTCATATTGGCTTTCTGTGTATTCAGTTGGCCGAATACGTTGGATCCAACATCGTGAACTACAGATTTGCTAGCATACTCAGACATTGATAGTTCACAAAGACTCGCGAATAGCCGACTTGAACTATATCGAACATTCTATGTCAGCTTGGTGCTTCACAACTATTTGTAGGTAGTTAAATCTAAGAGTAGAACGTCAACTTACGGGAATGACCTGAGCCTTCTCGAGATCCCAGACGTCGTTCTTAGCATAGACGTCGCCTCTGATGAGTTCCCAGGCTTCATCAGCGTCCTTGACGGTGTAGATCATGACGCTGCCCTTGAAACCGGGGGTCTGGCCTTCAACGGGGTGTTCCTTCTCAAACATGGCGCCTATCATATTCATGAGAACGAATATCGTGACGAACGCCGAAGGAGGGATGGGAGGTGAAGCCTGGATACGTACCACCGACAGCAATCTTTCCGTTGCTCTTGTGGCCCTGGGCATTCTCGAGATGCGTACTGAGGCAGGTTAGCAATCGGCCCGGAACTACACTCGGCCTCTTACAAGAGACCTGTTCCAACAACTAGGTTACATACGGTCTGACCTCCAAGCGCCGGGCAAGCGCATCGGGCTTGTCGGGAAGGATGCAGAGGAACTCCTTGGTAGCCATTGTGCGGTAGCGATTGAATGGTGAAGAGACGGGTCTGGTAGTAACAAAAGGTCTCCGAACTGCGGGGACGAAGCTGCCTCTGAGAATTCTGGCAGACATTGACATTATCGCAGCACCAGGGAGGGGAAAGCTTCACACGGGGGATATCAATCACGGCGTCATGTGACCGGGAAGTGCGGAGGTGGGACGGTTCGAGTTCGGAGTTTGAGGGGGAGTGGCGGGGCACGGTCTATGTTTGGCAGCTCCGATGCCGGAATTTGGTGCCGAAAGTAACCGGTGATGCCGGCGGACCATCAGAACCGGGAACCTATTCCCATCTCAATGTTCTCGCGATACGCTGAGAAATCACAGGGGAGGAATGTTCATTGAAAAAGTCTTCTGATTCATAATTGGCTATATTTTCAATTGCTGATTCATGTTCAAGTCGTCAAGTAAGGTACAAGGTACTCGAATCTACCCTGCTACTGTCACCAACGACGACATGCAATTAAGTCCATGAAGTCGGCTCGCGATGGAGGCATAGTTTATCAGCTACTTCACCGATAATGACATACAGAGCATAATACTGCCTTCATATTGCATTAATTGTGCATGCAAGTCGTTACCTGGGTGATTGATACTGAGATTAATCGCATGCATTCCATGTTGCAAAAATGTAAAAGAGGAGACGGCCACAATAAGCTGTCATAACATGTCAGGTCGTACCCGGGTTCGAACCGGGGTTACCAGAAGTTTTGATACGATCAAAATCTGGAGTGATAACCGCTACACTATACAACCTCTAGTTGGTCTTGTTGACCCATCGCCTGAGTGGAGGCCAGTCGATGCCACTTCCAAGCGAGAATCCACAATAAGAACGACTAAGCGTTGACTGTGTCTCGGCTATGACCAAACGGCACAGACGCGTCAGACGGGGAATCACACCGTGACTGATCGTCCAAACCTCGATTGCTATCTACGACGTCACGACTCCAGACTAGTTGGAAGACTGGATACACTACCTCCAGACAAGTGGGTAACAAACTTCCTCAGCAATCAATCTCTATGTTTCGCTCTGAACTCATCGCCAAATTGAGCTAAGTTGGCTGAGCTAGTCTAGACAAAACCATTATCAAGCGACGCGTCGACGGTAAACTGATACTGAGACCTCCCATGCAACGCGATGCTCTCGTTTCCATAAACAAACCGTCCCTGCGTACCGACCGGTGCCCGAATAGTAACACCAATATCACAATCACGCACCCTCCACTCAACACTCAACTCGCCTCCAAACGCAGTGACAACCTTGGCGCTCGCCCTCTTCAGCCCCATCTCAACACCACTCGCAGGCGAAACCACCCAGTTCCTATACCCAAACCCATCAACACCCGTAGCAGCCCGCAGTCCTGCAGCCCACTCAGTCAACACATACGTCGCAGCGCCGCCCCACGGATGACTCAGGCTCGTGAATAGTCCCAAGCCGGGCTGTTGCGTCGCAGCGTTGACGTACTCCCAGCTCGCGCCGACCGCACTCCTGTTCTGCCCTGGGGTCGTCTCGCCAGGCAACATCGCGCCCCAGAGACTCTCCATCAACTCCTTCGCGGCCTTCGTCTCGTTGCCGACGAACAGCGCCTCCAGCAGGAAACCATTGGTGTTGGGGGAGATGTTGACGCTCGAGTCGTTGGAACTGACCGCCGAGGTATCCTTGTATCCCGGGCCCAGCTTCAAGCGGGATACAGCGGCAAGAGACCGCGATGCGCGCGTTGCGTTCGCTACGCCTGAAGTGATGCAGAAGGCTGTCGCTGCCACCGAGATGCCGTCCAGGTCAGCCACCGAAAGACCGTACGCGCCTGCCTCTTTATTCCAGAGTCGCTCGTTGATCGCAGTCGCCAACGACGTCGCCGCGACCCTGTATCGAGTAGCAGATGCCGTATCATTGAGCGCATCAGCAACGTCGCCGGCACCGTTGAGAGTCTGAACAGCCTCGCACCCGATGGCAGATCCCCCGTCCGCCGGGCCCGTGAACGCGAACCCTCCATCAAAAGTCAACAGGCCCGTCGTGGAGTTAATCTGCGGCAGAAGCCAATCAAGCACCCTCTGCCATCGTGGCCACGTTGATCTCGCCCAGTCGAGGTCGTTTGTCAGACGCACGTGGTCGTTGAAGGCCATCAGGCCAAGGAGTTGGTAGTCCTGTAATCCGAAGCTCTCTGCCGGCGCTAGCGCATCGGCGACGGAGGCGAGGTCGTACCCCAGATTAGGTGAGATATTCATCTGCCCGTTTGCGATTTGCGAATCGAGTAGTAGCTGTAGTGTACCCCTAGCCTGCTCCGTCTTTGATGTGCTGGTAGCAATGATGCGTGCCGTGTGGTAAAAGTCACCGAGCCAGATGAGGCGGTCGCGCTTCGGACCGTCAAGACAGGCGGCTTCGCCGTTGGCTTGGGTTCCGTATTCGGCGAGGATGTCTTCCGAGCAGCCGGTGAGGGTGTTGGAGTAGAGCGTGGAGCCGTTGGCGGTGTCGTAGACGTGCACATTCTTGAAGTAGGCTGCTTGGTCTTGGTACGCTCCGAAGCCGAAGGAGCCGCTGAAGTCAGGGGACCCCGAGTAGGAGACTGTGCCGGAGCTGAGAGCCCACGGGTAGTCAGACCGTGAGATGTTGAGGATTTGGGTGTCGTTGATTGAGACCGCTAAGTGGCCGGTGGGAGCCATGGAGGCTTTGATGCGGTACCACTCGTTCTCCTTCACTGTGAAAGGAACATCAAAGACATCGAGCAAGTAGCTTGTGAGCGTTGTCTGGTTCACAAAATCCGGTCCGTATGCCAACGAGATAGTGTTGGGCGGTGTCAGAGTCTTGTTGACGTTGGCGAATGTGCTCGACTCGGGAAGCTCGCCGGTGAGGAGCATGGTGTATCCATTGCCGGCAATAACTCCTCCCTGGGTATCTCATCAGCATCTAGCTCTCTCCTGAACGTACATGAGGTCAAACTCACCGTTACCCACCAGCTCCCTCCCCTCTCGATCTTGGTATCGAACTCAAGTGTGTAATTGCTCCACGTTGTGCCCTTATATGTCACCGAGGGCCTGGTGCTACGAGCAAACACCCCGTTCTCTTTAGTTACTTCCCAAATTGTCTTTTGCGTTCCCTTATCAAAGCAAGCCGCCGTGGCTGCCCGAGCACCGAGCTTCCAGACCTCATTCAGGATCACATCGTCACTCTCAAACTGCCCAGGTAACTCCTCTGGTTCAATGGTATCAATCGTCGCCTCGAAGCCCACGCTAGAAAACGAAACGGTGCCGTTCGTCAAGAGTCTGATGGATTGCCATTTCTGCCCTCCTTGAATGAGTGGGGATTGAACTCGGCCGACGGACGTGATGTTGAAAGTCTCGACGCGGAAGCTGTTGCTCAACTGGTTGGAGAAGGTGTATGGCCCGTCCCCGAACGGATGGTCGAGTCCGTCATAGTGCTCCGTGTACTTAACCTCGATCTGGGCCGGGGCGCTGAGGGCCGAGACTTCAAAGATCGGATAACCCGCTCTCTCGGCTCCGTAATCCAAGGTGGCTAGCGGGATTTCCGGGCTCAGCGAGAATGGGACGAACGGCTCCGTTTGGAGCTGTGCTGCCGTGCCTGTAGCGATCCCTTTGGCCGTGAAGCTTCTGATCAAAATTTGAAGTTAGAAATGGGCTCTTTGCGTGGGAGATAGTAGGTCTAGGTGTCATACCTCGTCGTAGAGTTGCTGCTTGAAACCCTGGCGGCAACACCGGCAGCACTGGCTGCGAGCGCTAGCAACAAACATGAGACTGCCATTCCTACGTCTTGAACCCAGTGCTATGGGCAGAAGTGACCCAAACGATGTTTTACAAGTGAGAAGCAGCAAAAATCTCTTGTCGCAACGACAGGCTCAACGACAACGATCATTCCGGGCCTAATTTCCTCGGCTTGCGGGCGTCGTCTTGTAGTCTGAAATATTCGCATGATCCACACCGAGCAGATTATGTCGCGTCACCCTCGCGCCTGAAAGTATGA